TTCCATCAGCAAGGGCATTGAAGATGAAATGTGGCTGGGTCTTTCAGCATGACAATGATCCCAAACACACCGCCCGGGCAACGAAGGAGTGGCTTCGTAAGAAGCATTTCAAGGTCCTGGAGTGGCCTAGCCAGTCTCCAGATCTCAACCCCATAGAAAATCTTTGGAGGGAGTTGAAAGTCTGTGTTGCCCAGCGACAGCCCCAAAACATCACTGCTCTAGAGGAGATCTGCATGGAGGAATGGGCCAAAATACCAGCAACAGTGTGTGAAAACCTTGTGAAGACTTACAGAAAACTTTGACCTGTGTCATTGCCAACAAAGGGTATATAACAAAGTATTGAGAAACTTTTGTTATTGACCAAATACTTATTTCCCACCATAATTTGCAAATAAATTCATTAAAAATTCTACAATGTGATTTTCTGGAAAACAAATTCTCATTTTGTCTGTCATAGTTGACGTGTACCTATGATGAAAATTACAGGCCTCTCTCATCTTTTTAAGTGGGAGAACTTGTACAATTGGTGGCTGACTAAATACTTTTTTTCCCCACTGTACACTCAATTAGTATTTGGTAGCATTGCTTTTAAATTGTTTAACTTGGGTCAAACGTTTCGGGTTGCCTTCCACAAGCTTCCCACAATAAGTTGGGTGAATTTTGGCACATTCCTCCTGACAGAGCTGGTGTAAGTGAGTCAGGTTTCTAGGCCTCCTTGCTCGCACACACTTTTTCAGTTCTGCCCACAAATGTCCTATAGGATTCAGGTCAGGGCTTTGTGATGGCCACTCCAATACCTTGACTTTGTTGTCCTTTAGCCATTTTGCCACAACTTTGGAAGTATGCTTGGGGTCATTGTCCATTTGGAAGACCCATTTGCGACCAAGTTTTAACTTCCTGACTGATGTCTTGAGATGTTGCTTGAATATATCCACATAATTCTCCTTCCTCATGATGCCATCTATTTTGTGAAGTGCACCAGTCCCTCCTGCAGCAAAGCACCCCCACAGCATGATGCTGCCACCCCCATGCTTCACGGTTGGGATGGTGTTCTTCGGCTTGCAAGCTTCCCCCTTTTTCCTCCAAACATAACGATGGTCATTATGGCCAAACAGTTCTATTTTTGTTTCATCAGACCAGAGGACATTTCTCCAAAAAGTACGATCTTTGTCCCCATGTGCAGTTGCAAACTGTAGTCTGGCTTTTTTTATGGCGGTTTTGGAGCAGTGGCTTCTTCCTTGCTGAGCGGCCTTTCAGGTTATGTTGATATAGGACTTGTTTTACTGTGGATATAGATACTTTTGTACCTGTTTCCTCCAGCATCTTCACAAGGCCCTTTGCTGTTGTTCTGGGATTGATTTGCACTTTTCGCACCAAAGTACGTTCATCTCTACAAGACAGAACGCGTCTCCTTCCTGAGCGGTATGACGGCTGCGTGGTCCCATGGTGTTTATACTTGCGTACTATTGTTTGTACAGATGAACGTGGTACCTTCAGGCGTTTGGAAATTGCTCCCAAGGATGAACCACACACTTGGAGGTCTACAAATTGTTTTCTGAGGTCTTGGCTAATTTCTTTTGATTTCCCCATGATGTCAAGCAAAGAGGCACTGAGTTTGAAGGTAGGCCTTGAAATACATCCACAGGTACACCTCCAATTGACTCAAATGATGTCAGTTAGCCTATCAGAAGCTTCTAAAGCCATGACATCATTTTCTGGAATTTTCCAAGCTGTTTAAAGGCACAGTCAATTTAGTGTATGTAAACTTCTGACCCACTGGAATTGTGATACAGTGAATTATAAGTGAAATAATCTGTCTGTAAACAATTGTTGGAAAAATTACTTGTGTCATGCACAAAGTAGATGTCCTAACCGACTTGCCAAAACAATAGTTTGTTAACAAGACATTTGTGGAGTGGTTGAAAAACAAGTTTTAATGACTCCAACCTAAGTGTATGTAAACTTCCGACTTCAACTGTAGGTGATGTGTCACTGATCATTTGGGCAAATCATGATTTCGCAGGTGCTCGCACCTTTCAAATTTCTGAAGGAGAGGGGACATTTGGCCCATAGACTTGCCCGAAACTAGTCTCATTAGTATATTTTCTAACCCGTCTCCCCCTGAACTCAATCGAGCATCGACGCAATTACGCAAGATTTTAGTTCTGGGTGTCCGAGATTACCTTTGTTCTTAAGATCTCACTCAAATGAATGTTCTTCTATATTAAACTATGGTTTGTTAGTTTGTTCATGCTTATTTTGGGGAATGCACTGTATTTCAGATGAATCCCTGTAATGACAGATAGTGTAAAGCAGGGATGGGCAACTTTGATGGAGTGGGGGTCACATATAAAACAATTAAAAAACGCATTGCGAGCAAAACGTCTTAGTGGCCCCCAACTTGACAGCAGAGATTTTTTTTAAACAGCGTTTTAGAGTTAATTTCGTGCAATTCTACACATTTTAACATGGGGTGTAGAGAAAATGTTGCAGTTTTACAGCTCATTTCCTGCAATTCTACACATTTTGCCACAGGGTGGGAGAAATTTTTGCAGTTTTTAATATGATATTTGAGTGAGACTGACTAACAAAATCAAGGGGGGTCCCCCGGCCAGTAATTCGACCCTGATAACAAATGTAGATAGCTGGCTGCTTAACTAATTTAGCAATCTAAAAAATGTTAGCTAACATGGACTAACTGACTGACTGTCAGTGACTGACATAAAAATAGTAAAACTGCTGATGCAGACCCCGACTGAGTTCCTCAAAAGTTTTCTTTATTATTATTATTTTTTTTTGGGGGGGGGGGGTTGGTTTGATCCGAGGGCCTTCAAAAGGGGGGCCGCAAAGTTGCCCATCCCTGGTGTAAAGAGTTGATTAATTGACCCGGTAATACATGACTTTTGTGTGTGTGTGTGTGTGTGTGTGTGTGTGTGTGTCCTTTTATATGTCAGGTGAGGTAATAATTCGAACGACGTGCGGTGAGCCCTGCAGTGACAACTCCCTCTCAGATGTGGTGAGGCTTAGTCATCCACTCACTGGCTTTGTGTGTCTCTTTAGATCTATATGTTTACATGTCTTCTCTCTCTCTCTCTGTCTGTTTGTCTTTATCTATCAATCTGTTTGACTGAAAATCTGACAATCCATTGCAGACTCATCACTTATGTATGTATTCTGCTCTGTACAAGTTTTATAATACAAGTGTCTGTATTTACAATGCCCAAGAACCTCTATTGAAGTGATATAATAAACAGTTTGTCTGTCATTGTATACTCACACCAAAACAAAGCCAAGTGACGGCATCTTCTCCTTCCGTTGGCGATGAGCAGTCGTCGCACATTGGCACTCGGCGTCCGTAAACTCTTGTCATTGTGCATTTCTCTCTCTCCCTCAGGTTGTAGGCCTGGGAGTTGGGTATGTCAAACTGGGAGGTCTGAGTCGTGGAGAGCGGCTGACTAAATACAACCGTCTGATTTCTATAGAGGAAGAATTGGCCCAGCAGGGAATACTGGGTATGGCTTTTTCCTCTCGCCTTTTCAGCCGGTAGAAAGAGGGGGCTAGACAAAGCTATGGGGAGGAGAGGCAGTAATGGCTGGGCTGGTGAGAACACATTTCTCCCTGAACGTGAAAGGAAACTGTGTGTCAGGAATCATGAAGAGGGGGAAAAGGAGCTGGCGAAAAAACCCTACCTTCTGTTAATTGGCCACCTAATTATGCCTCCCAAAAAAGGGACAGGGACATTGGACAATTACTGAAAAGCGAGTTCATCATTGTATAAAATAAAGAATTAACTTCTGCACCAATTGCATATACAGGACTGTTGTATACCGTTTGGTTCTGGCTCTGTGGAATATATATATTTTTAGTACTGTCACAGCAGTAGAAATAATCACAGACCTTGAATAGAGGGGCCTGAAGTGAGGAGGGACATGTTCAATGTGCACAGACCTCTACATAACATGTTCAATAGACTGTCATGGAGGGGCTAGTTTCGCTTTGGCCTTTTTAAAGCCTTTGTTGTCGATTCAACTTATTTCACTTTTTTTCTGTCTGCAGATTTAAGAAAACACACATCCCCATCTTTGTTGGAGAAACGGAGGAGCAGTCATCTACATATTCTTGAGGACAAGGATTAAATTAATACCATCATGTTTTTATTCCAAAATGACATTTTCTATTTATGTTAACGTCAATCTAATGTAATTACAAGTCTCAAAATGAATAGCTCATACAATCTATTTAAATGATACACCATTACATTTCTTCCCATATAAAAATGAATGAATTTTCAGTCGACACTTAGTGCAAAAAGGTTGCACGCTAACCAAATGCAGCCTTGATCTGTATTTAAAAAAAATGAATTGATCAAAATGACCACATAAAGGAATCACAATAATTTGGCATCGCAAACTCTGGAATAAACAGAAAATTATATTTACACATATATTTTCAAATTCCAAAGAATAAAAAATACACACACACAACAAAAATCAATGTAAGACACTGTGGTCATGATTATATTGAATAAACCTGTCCATATAATAACCATTATTTTTGTGTGGTTTATGACTATTTTTCCATTAATGGTATAATGCCAGTGTTGGGGTAGCTACTCTGAAAATATAGTTTACCAAGCTACCAATTACTTAACACTGAAAGAATTTAAGCTACACTAAAGCTACCCTTAAGAAAAATATTGTTTAATTAACTGAAGTTACTTTGAAAAATTATCATATGTAAATTTGAAATGTCATAGACTACAAATTGCAAGAACAGATCACTTTTTGGTCATATGTTAACAGAATGTGTAATTTAGCCTATTAAACAGTGAGAATTAGGCTGGTTTGATGCTGAAAAAGAAAGGAAATTATTGCCTACTTCACCCATATTTTATTTTAGGAAAAAAAGTAGGGTGTAGTTCCAGTAGTTAGCTACACCGCTACATGGCAAAAAAGTCATTACCAATGAAAACACTACCTAGATTTGAATTTAGTTCAACTACCACCAAGCTACTGCAAAATGTAATTAAATTACTAGTTGAACCACATGTAGTTCATTACTCCCCAACCCTGTGTAGTGCAATTGGGACACCAGACGGGCTTTGTACTCTGAGGTCTTCTTTCCTTCACCAGAGAGCTGACTGCAGCATTGACAGGTGCAGGTCTGTCATCTAAAGGGAAATAGATGAAAAGGCACATAGATGAAACACTGAGCAAGACCATGGATTTCTACACTCATCCGTCTTAACTAGTGTTTGAGTGTAAAGCAGGTGGGCCTACAATTTTAAAATCGACCTTATTTAAAAATCCACCGAAGTACTGGAATAGTTTGATACTGACAGAAACATTTGTGAAATTAGTGGCACTCACTATTACTCAATTAGTGGCACTCACTATTACTCAATTAGTGGCACTCACTATTACTCAATATCTTTATGCAACATGTTAGTGCTGATATAAGTTATTGTTTTAAGCAATGTTGACAGGATGACAGATGGATCTGAAAGAGCAGACGTAAAAGAATGCTAAAGCATACAGCAACTTAATGCTGACCACCAAGTAAAGCCAACACACTGAGAAAGGGCCCCTTCATAATTTGTCATATCCTCATCCTACCCCACAACACAGTTCCTAGAGGAAATGATTATGTAGCCCTTTTTAAAGACAAAACCACCGGTCTAAACAGTTGCGGCATGCCCTGCATCAGTGTAACAGAGGGGGCAGTTGTTCCAGCGGGAAGTAGACGGTTCAGAGGTGCTTTGTGCACCAACAGACAGGGAGAGACACCACACAGCTGTGTTGGAGCACTTACGGCCTGCATCAATGGGCCTGTCAAAGGAGTTCTCCTTCATTCATGCTCTTTTCAACTCAAAATACAACGTTGATTTAGCGACATGATTATCCATTAATTACTGTATTTAACCTATCAATTGACTTGATTTATGATTTAAGGATATTTTTTCCATACTTCAATGAATCATTTCATTTAACTTGGCTTATCTTTATCGTAACTTACATACATATAATTCTATCTGAGTAAAAGCTGAACATGGCACAAAGCACAATTACTCCTATTATCAAGCATACCTGCGTACTTACAACATTTTAACATGAGTAAAATTGCATTTCAATTGGAATATCAACTTACTAAAGATTGTAAGCATCTTAATAGCCTGCATTTCACTTGGTTTTAAAGTGCTTAGCTCGGCATTGCCTCATCTACTATGGTATGTAATACAAATTGTTGATAAAGATATGAGAATATTCTGTGTTCATCTAGCCATCTACTGAATATCCAAACAAGCCAAGGAAGGAGAGAAAGAAAGAGAGAGCTAGGGAGTGCACAGGATCTACAGAAATCCTCTAATCAATGAATGTGGATAGCCAGACATAGCGGGCAGAAAGAAAGCCGCCCTGTGATTTGGCCCTGAGCAGCCATGGTTCCCCACCAGGCAATTACTCTGTTTGGAAAATAAACGGAATTACTAACAAAATAGGCTAAATTAAGTGTTTCCCAGACACACTAAAAAGAGGCTTCCTAATTGCCAATCCCTCTCGGGGGAAAAAAACAACAAAACGTTCCATTGTATTGGCTGATGGCAACAGAAATAGAGAGCGGTAAAGATGGCTCTCACCAAAATAAAAAGGGATACAGCATGCCTCTGGGTAATTACATTGTCGCCCTGATCGGCAGAATGTTTACTGCTTGTCAATCAATGTCAGACGGCAGATCGCTAAAGAGGAAGCAGGGAAAGTCATTGACCAGGTCATGGACTCTGTTTCAACGCTGAGCTGTTGAGCTGTCCATGGACTGAAAACAACAGCTCCAAGGAGAGCAAGCATCAGCTGGCCGTAGTCGGTGATACTGTCTGTGACTTCTAGAATCAGGTGCAGTATGAAATACTGAAGACCTACATTGACATACTTTTCAAGTGCAATCATTTCAAAGAGGTTGAGGGGAGCCAGGATTCAAACAAACGCAGATTACTGCCATCGCACTGCACTTGGTGGAACCGCAGTAACTGCCATCAAATCAATGAAAATGTTTTCTCCCTTGAAACATGCTTAATTTTCTGTTTGAATGAAATGATGTACCGGTATATACATTTACATTTTAGTAATTTAGCAGACGATCTTATCCAGAGCAATTTACAGTTAGTGAGTGCATACATTATTTTTTTATTTTTCATACTGGCCCCCCGTGGGAATCGAACCCACAACCCTGGCGTTGCAAACGCCATGCTCTAACAACTGAGCTACATCCCTGCCGGCCATTCCCTCTCCTACCCTGGACGACTTGTGCGCTGCCCCATGGGTCTCCCGGTCGCGGCCGGCTACAACAGAGCCTGGATTCGAACCAGGATCTCTAGTGGCACAGCTAGCACTGCGATGCAGTGCCTTAGACCACTGCGCCATATACAGCTGCGGAAAAAATTAAGAGACCAATGCAAAATTATCAGTTTCTCTGGTTTTACTATTTATAGGTATGTGTTTGGATAAAAATAACATTTTTTGTTTCATTCTATAATCTACTGACAACAAATTCAAAAAAAAAAAATTGTCATTTAGAGCATTTATTTGCAGAAAATGACAACTGGTCAAAATAACAAAAAAGATGCAGTGTTGTCAGACCTCGAATAATGCAAAGAAAAAAAGTTTATGTTCATTTTTAAACAACACAATAGTAATGTTTTAACTTAGGAAGAGTTCAGAAATCAATATTTGGTGGAATAACCCTGATTTTCAATCACAGCTTTCATGCGTCTTGGCATGCTCTCCACCAGTCTTTCACATTGATGTTGGGTGACTTTATGCCACTCCTGGCGCAAAAATTCAAGCAGCTCAGCTTTGTTTGATGGCTTGTGACCATCCATCTTCCTCTTGATCACATTCCAGAAGTTTTCAATGGGGTTCAGGTCTGGAGATTGGGCTGGCCATGACAGGGTCTTGATCTGGTGGTCCTCCATCCACACCTTGATTGACCTGGCTGTGTGGCATGGCGCATTGTCCAGCTGGAAAAACCAATCCTCAGAGTTGGGGAACAATGTCAGAGCAAAAGGAAGCAAGTTTTCTTCCAGGACAACCTTGTACGTGGCTTGATTCATGCGTCCTTCACAAAGACAAATCTGGCCGATTCCAGCCTTGCTGAAGCACCCCCAGATCATCACCGATCCTCCACCAAATTTCACAGTGGGTGCGAGACATTGTGGCTTGTAGGCCTCTCCAGGTCTCCGTCTAACCATTAGACGACCAGGTGTTGGGCAAAGCTGAAAATTGGACTCATCAGAGAAGATGACCTTACTCCAGTCCTCTATGGTCCAATCCTTATGGTCTTTTGCAAACCTCAGCCTGGCTCTTCTTTGCTTCTCATTGATGAAGGGCTTTTTTCTAGCTTTGCAAGACTTCAGCCCTGCCCCTAGGAGCCTGTTTCAAACCATCCTTGCCATGCACTTCACTCCAGCTGCCGTTTGCCATTCTTTTTGTAGGTCACTTGATGTCATCCTACGGTTGATGAGTGACATTCGAATGAGTTGGCGGTCATCCCGGTCAGTAGAGAGTCGTTTTCGCCCTCTGCCGGTCTGTAGCTTTGTTGTCCCCAATGTGTGCTGCTTGACCTTGTTCTTATGAACCGCCGTCTTTGGAATTTTAAGGATGGAAGCAACCTGACGCTCACTGTATCCCTCTGCCAGTAAAGCCAGAATTGACCCCTTCTTTTCCTCACTCAAAACTTTCCTTTTCAACTCTTTTGGCATGGTCAATAGTTATTTTTTGATTAATATTACTTTTGAGGTACTATTAGCACTGTTTTTGCCATCCAGCTGGTCCTATTGCAAGAGGATAGTGATGACCACAGCAGTGGTTTTTATACTTTTCCTCGTTAAATAAGATTTGGTTCATGTGATCACCTAATCAGTACCTAATTCAGTAGAATGAGGTGTGCCTGTGTTGGAATTCAACAGACACTGGAATGGAATGGCTGTCATACATGTAGAGATGCTGATTTAAGAAACATTTGCAGTGGTCTCTTAATTTTTTCCACAGCTGTATATAATCAGGAGGTTGTACACCAGTTGTATTGGCATTTTGACAGTTAACACAGTTGGAATCAAGGCAATATTTGACATTTATGAATCAGGATCGCAGTGCGAAGGTTGTTTATCTGTGTTTGAATTCCAGCCTGTGGCACCATTTTCTGCTATAACATCAATTATTACTAAGGTGTTCTCTCTCTCTCTCTCTCTCTCTCTCTCTCTCTCTCTCTATCTCTGTCTGTCTGTCTGTCTGTCTGTCTGTCTGTCTGTCTGTCTGTCTGTCTGTCTGTCTGTCTGTCTGTCTGTCTGTCTGTCTGTCTGTCTGTCTGTCTGTCTGTCTGTCTGTCTGTCTGTCTGTCCAGCACGTAGAGCGGCTTACTCAAGCAAGGTCTGCTGCTCAATGACACTCTCATCTCCTTGGATGTTATCTGAGTTAAGTCTTTGTTAACCTCATCTTCCTTCAACATGAGAAAATGGAGGGCCATAACAAAAACATGTCAGTCTGCACAATTAGTCATTTCCGATTCCTTGGTGCAAGCAAAGTCCCCTTGTCTACTGCTCCCTTTGTCTGCAAGGCCATTGTTGAGGGGAATTCTACTGTTAAATAAAATTACAGTGACTTCCTCTTCCAACAATGTTGTAGCCCTGTCTGTATTTTGGAGCGGTCAGCTGATGAATGAATGTGCAGAGCCAATAGGTCTTACATTTTTACATTTTAGTAGACGCTCTTATCCAGAGCAACTTACAGGAGCAATTAGGGTTAAGTGCCTTGCTCAAGGGCACATCGACAGATTTTTCACCTAGTCGGCTCGGGGATTAGAACCAGCGACCTTTCGGTTACTGGCACAAAGCTCTTAACCACTAAACTACTTGCCGCCCCCGGTCTTAAGATGAAGTCTGAACCCCTTGATGCGCCTGGAAGATATATATATATATAATCTAATACAGAACACTTTATACTCACACAGGCTTTTGGGGGTAAGTAGTATACATGTAAACAAGATGACAGAAAGAAAAGTCACTCAAATTGAATTTCCTCCATAATCTTGGGGGATTTGACCCTTTCTCTCAACTGTGCTCCAAGTGGAAATTGTGCCTTAGTGGCAAATGAGACCCAAATCCTCAATTAGTGCCCCACACAATGGCTACAGGACGTCACACTCCTGTTTCTGGCTCTCACATTTCCCCCTCACTTCAGAAATAGTCCAACGAATTTGTGCAGGTGAGGGAAAAAAGCCCATCCTCATGGTCAACTAAGCGTGATGGTCATTGTGGCGTTCTGAGAGCAAGTTGATCCCAATCCAATTGTTCCGTAACAAACACCTAGCAGAACAGCTTAACCTCTAGTTGACATGCCAAGCATTTGACTAACATCTAAAGCTCCAGTACTACCAGCTACGATGCTCTATGTACATTTACATGCTTGAAATTCTTTAGTCTTGAAATAGATTGTGCTATAAAAAATCTTTACAAAAATGCCTTCAAATAAAGCCTGCACAAAAAATAATCTTGGGCCATGAAAGACTGGGAGAGTATCAAGCGAGGGGAGTAGTGGAAACAAAATCTGCCACAGTGCCCTGTAATTGCTCACTGGGAGGCTACAAGGTTAATACTGGTCTAGACAGACCAATTTAAAGACATACTTGCTTTGGCAAATGTTCAAGGCTACAAAAGCCGGCTGACGGATCCTCTCAGTGCAAACAAAGACTGTGTCAAAAATGTGGGCTTCACCTTCACCATTAAATAAATGTTAACAAAGCCTCCGGTTGTGGGAACAAAGTATTTCATTTCACCTAAATCAATTGCTCCATGGTAATCCTTCATACTGTAGTGCACTCCCTCCCCAAAACAAAACAGGCAGCAGTGTGAAAACATCACAGCTTAATACAACATGAAGCCACGGTGCACTTGGTCTCAGAGCTGCTCTAATTATTCCTGTAATCATCAGAAACAACCAGGGCCAGACTGATTCTTTATGATGCTTTATCCTACAGAAATAAGTAGGTTTCTCATTTTCGACCAGTTGGGTCTTGGGACTTAAACTTCACTGTAAATCATGCAGTGATTCCAGCTGTGAGGCATACTTACCCAGGGCCCTGGGGTGCTAGTGGCCAGAACTCAGGTCCACTGAGTGGGCCTAGAGCGGGACAGAGTCCTGAGATTCCTGGGAGCTCTGCTTGGTCTGGGGCTGGTCCCCTCTCACCCTGGTGACATCCAGAACACTGCTGGGGAAGGGACGAGGCGAGGATGGCGAACCTTCACAGAGACAGACACAAACACAATCACATATGAGGCGGCAGGTAGCTTAGTGGTTAAGAGCGTTGTGCCAGTAACCGAGAGGTCGCTGGTTCTAATCCCCGAGCCGACTAGGTGAAAAATCTGTCGATGTGCCCTTGAGCAAGGCACTTAACCCTAATTGCTCCTGTAAGACACTCTGGATAAGAGCGTCTGCTAAATGACAAAAAAAAAAATAATAATTACATATAGATCCACAGTATTTCTAGTCAACAGTTGGAAATTGCTATTGTAGGCCTACAGTATGTTTACCTATTTGTCTGATGTTAGGATCTGCAGTGACAGAGAACTGATATTACTCTGTAGGTATGTTTGCAACACGGCACAACTTCTTTTATGTTTAATTCATTGCAGAGGAGTGTAAAATAATTGAACATTTAACAAAATCCACTACCAGCAGCCAGAAACCACCTCCTCAGTAAAGCAGAAAGTGGTGTCCATACTACAAAACATGGGAGGGCTGTGTGGAAGATATGTCATATTTTGAGTTTTGCAATATGTTGTTTCACTAAGTAATTAGAACAATTGTTTGCAAATGATTTATATTTATTTAATTAACGAAGGTGAAGGGAGTAAGCCAATAACCTTATTCTTGCATGAATTATTGGAAATACATTTGAAAATGCCTCATATACATATTTTCCTAAATGTAATTTCACTTGTTTAATTTAATATTAACAATAAAGCAAAAACAGATAGAGAAACGTTTGGTTATTATACTCTACTACGGATGGAATCTTACCCATTCCTTGTTCCACAAGACTGTCTCCATGAGCCCATCCTTTAGCTATTCGTATTGAAACTATTAGCAGGACATAAGACTGCCTTTGTCTAAATTGACAAAAAGTGATACAATATCGTTTGTCATCTTTACGACCACTGAAACCCCCTCCAGAGTAAGTACGGGCTTGTCATTCTTTAGTTGTATATATTTAAAGGAGACAAAACTCACAACTTTCCTGTGAGGTCTGGAACGCGCTCCGCCGTCTCTGTAGAACTCTCTCCAGCTCAGACTCAGTGTTTGTTGATGGAGATCCAACTTTAAGGTGGGGGGAGGGCCTTTTGAAAGTGTCCTGCACAGTTGGAACATAAAGGGAAACAGATTCTGGTATGGTCTTGAGAATAACCTCTAACAACTTAATGTAGCTATGTATTATAAAATATTGTTTGTATACTGTAGTGTCTAACAAATCATGATTTTATCACAAACAACAAATAACAACATTTTGGAAAAGAAAAGTACCTCAAAAAGGACTACTGCTATTATTAAAAGGTTCCATTACCAGAATTCCTTTAAGTTCCTGAATGGCAGAATTGGAGGGTACCCTTTCTCGCTGGCAAGAGGATGAGAACAGATAGAAAGATGGGTTTGGTAAATAAGCAGCACATATTTGACACATTTATCCCAATCACTGTTTCAGCCTACATAACCTCTTAGCATTGTTGTGAATCACTAGACCACTCTTCATACCACAGACCAGAATAAGGGTAAAAAAAAAAAAAAAGAACATGTCCACATACAGTATAATTATTTAATTTCGCATGCAAACTGACAATTTACACATTATAAAATAATTTGGGTAAAGCATAGGTCCTAATGGTCTCCAATTTTGAGAGAACTGTGGGCAGAGTGCTAAGTGCTACATGTTGACATGTCTTAGAGATCTCATAATAACTTACAAAAACAAGCTTATGCGGTAATCACATACAGTACACTGTCATCCCTGTCAGAATGTGACAATGTGTTCAAAATAGCTTCTGAAGTTTCATAGTCGTATGGAAGTTATTGGTAAAATACGGCAGTTTTTCAATTCCCTGAAAAGTTTCAGTTTTGGAGATACAAGGTTTTCTTCCGTCAGCGACGCTATGCTACTTAGAAACATACAGGCCCATGAACATGATTTCAACAGGTAATAAAGCCTTTCACTGTGTTTCTGTTGAAACACAGCTTTTCTCTAAGGTAAACATACTGTACAGAGCTCCATGTTGACATGACTTAGATGTCTTACAGCGTACAAAAACAAGCTCACTTCAGTAACTACATACACTATTCTTAGGAAAATATACATTTAAAAAACAGAGACACAGGTCCATGAACATGATTGCACAGGTCATCAAGCCATTTCACGAGTAACAAGGAAAAAGAGTACATTTATGTTGAAACACAGCTTTTCTCTGTGCTGAAGTGGTACAATGTTGGTGATCCTTTGTGAGGTACAGTGGGGAAAAAAAGTATTTAGTCAGCCACCAATTGTGCAAGTTCTCCCACTTAAAAAGATGAGAGAGGCCTGTAATTTTCATCATAGGTACACGTCAACTATGACAGACAAAATGAGAAAAGAAATTCCAGAAAATCACATTGTAGGATTTTTTATGAATTTATTTGCAAATTATGGTGGAAAATAAGTATTTGGTCAATAACAAAAGTTTCTCAATACTTTGTTATATACCCTTTGTTGGCAATGACACAGGTCAAACGTTTTCTGTAAGTCTTCACAAGGTTTTCACACACTGTTGCTGGTATTTTGGCCCATTCCTCCATGCAGATCTCCTCTAGAGCAGTGATGTTTTGGGGCTGTCGCTGGGCAACACGGACTTTCAACTCCCTCCAAAGATTTTCTATGGGGTTGAGATCTGGAGACTGGCTAGGCCACTCCAGGACCTTGAAATGCTTCTTACGAAGCCACTCCTTCGTTGTCCGGGCAGTGTGTTTGGGATCATTGTCATGCTGAAAGACCCAGCCACGTTTCATCTTCAATGCCCTTGGTGATGGAAGGAGGTTTTCACTCAAAAATTGAAAATTACAGGCCTCTCTCATCTTTTTAAGTGGGAGAACTTGCACAATTGGTGGCTGACTAAATACTTTTTTCCCCCACTGTATATACTGCATGTACCTGGACGGGCTTGGTTTTGTTAGGGGCCTGGCCCACGGGTCGGAGGTGAACCCCCCTTTTGATTCTCTGCATCATCTCATCCACAGCCTGTTGCCTGATGTCCATCTCTAGAAGACAACACACAAAGAGCACACAGGTTATTTTTCTCGAAGGCCAAAAACAACTGTCTGGATTTTGATCCATACTAACAATACAGTACAACTTCAGTAGGAGATTTAATAAAAAGCATTGCCTCCATCCTCCTCTATTGCAGTCTATACGTTCCATAAAGGCGAGTATTGATGGCAAACATTACAGGCCAAAGTTCATACAGTGGTCTTTACAAATGGCTTCGGAACTCCTTCAACAACCATTATGTTTTCATTCAGAAGTTCAACAAGAAAAGTTTTACAAATTCTACAAGAAAATACAAGTTATTTGCAGCTGACAAAAGATGGAGACATTTCATTTAACAGCCTGTAGATATTTTTTTAGAAAGTTGCACACTCTATACTCCCAACAATTGAATGGGTAACACTAGTCACCTTGTAACCTTCAATTAAGATTACACAACAAAGCCATTGTTAGCTGGCACATAACTCACAATGTTATGAAAATGTTGTACTCCAAAGTATTCAAAGCAATATTCAAAGTATTAAAGAAATATATTTTTTTATTCAAATGTTCTTATTCAAATGAAAAAGATAATTGATGACCGATCTCTTCAACCTCTAGGGGCAACCAGGTACAGTAGTGAGCGCCCAATAAAATAAAAATACAGACAATGAATGACTGGTAACAAAACAAGTATCTTTTTATGTTCAGAAAATACAAATGTACCACCAACTCCAACTATTCAAGGTTTGGTTTTTGTCCATGCAGAATGGAACTTTAAAGGTCCAATGCAGCTGTTTTTATCTCAATATCAAATAATTTCTGGGTAACAATTAAGTACCTTACTGTGACTGTTTTCAATTAAAATGGTCAAAAAGAAGAAAAAAATGCTTCTTCGCAAAGAGCAATTTCTAAAGCAAGGATTTTGCTAGGATTATCTGGGCGTGGTTTAAGTGAGGGGGCTAATTGGACGAGCCTAATGGGAGGGATATGTAACTTGAAAACTAGCTGTTATCGGCAGAGAGGTTTAAAACTGTCTTTGTTATTGGTCTATTAACTTATACCGCCTGGTAATGTCGCCAGGCAGGACAAAAACTCCATCCCACCAAATCAGGCTGAAATGTCAGGCGCTTTTCAAACAGTTCTTACACTAAAAAGACATTATCATAATTTTCACTAATTCACAGTATTATTCCAACCTCATAGTGTGGAAAAATATTTAAAACACATGAAAATCACTTTTTTGACTGCACTGGGCCTTTAACTGACATGGCCCGTCAATGATCCCCAATAAATGCTCATAAAGCACAGACGTGTGTCCTTCGACTACTCAATTATTAATGTCTACATTCCTCATACAAAAGTGACACAACTGACCCATAGTGATTCTGGAATAGAATAGAATAGAAAATAGAAATTACTTCGAGAGCAACCTTAATTTTAAGTTCAATAATGGCCCTCAATTAAGTCGAGCTGCCATTCAATTCCCTCGAGGAATTTCTACAAATTGCATCGAGGAGGGGAACATTTGTGAAATAAAAATGTATTGTATACAGTTTTAAATGTATTGTATACAATGTGGATGAACTGAGAAACAGATGAGATTGTGGATTGGACAGGTTGTCCAAAGTCTGAACGTGGACGTCTAGGTACTGTATCAATAAGAGCCATGTTAGGTTAAAACATAGTAGGCACTATCCAAATAAAGTGCAACCCAAAGATCAGAGCTTCTGCTATAGTGCCAGGCTCTGAAGGAATTGGGTCACAGATTCAAGTCTTCCAGACAGTGCTTCTTAGCTACATACAGTGGGGAGAACAAGTATTTGATACACTGCCGATTTTGCAAGTTTTTCTACTTACAAAGCATGTAGAGGTCTGTAATTTTTTATCATAGGTACACTTCAACTGTGAGAGACGGAATCTAAAACAAAAATCCAGAAAATCACATTGTATGATTTTTAAGTAATTAATTTGCATTTTATTGCATGACATAAGTATTTGATACATCAGAAAAGCAGAACTTAATATTTGGTACAGAAACCTTTGTTTGCAATTACAGAGATCATACGTTTACTGTAGGTCTTGACCAGGTTTGCACACACTGCAGCAGGGATTTTGGCCCACTCCATACAGACCTTCTCCAGATCCTTCAGGTTTCGGGGCTGTCGCTGGGCAATACGGACTTTCAGCTCCCTCCAAAGATTTTCTATTGGGTTCAGGTCTGGAGACTGGCTAGGTCACTCCAGGACCTTGAGATGCTTCTTACGGAGCCACTCCTTAGTTGCCCTGGCTGTGTGTTTCGGGTCGTTGTCATGCTGGAAGACCCAGCCACGACCCATCTTCAATGCTCTTACTGAGGGAAGGAGGTTGTTGGCCAAGATCTCGCGATACATGCCCCATCCATCCTCCCCTCAATACGGTGCAGTCGTCCTGTCCCCTTTGCAGAAAAGCATCCCCAAAGAATGATGTTTCCACCTCCATGCTTCACGGTTGGGATGGTGTTCTTGGGGTTGTACTCATCCTTCTTCTTCCTCCAAACAACAGCGAGTGGAGTTTAGAACAAAAAGCTCTATTTTTGTCTTATCAGACCACATGACCTTCTCCCATTCCTCCTCTGGATCATCCAGATGGTTATTGGCAAACTTCAGACGGGCCTGGACATGCGCTGGCTTGAGCAGGGGGACCTTGCGTGCGCTGCAGGATTTTAATCCATGACGGCGTAGTGTGTTATTAATGGTTTTCTTTGAGACTGTGGTCCCAGCTCTCTTCAGGTCATTGACCAGGTCCTGCCGTGTAGTTCTGGGCTGATCCCTCACCTTCCTCATGATCATTGATGCCCCACGAGGTGAGATCTTGCATGGAGCCCCAGACCGAGGGTGATTGACCGTCATCTTGAACTTCTTCCATTTTCTAATAATTGCGCCAACAGTTGTTGCCTTCTCACCAAGCTGCTTGCCTATTGTCCTGTAGCCCATCCCAGCCTTGTGCAGGTCTACAATTTTATCCCTGATGTCCTTACACAGCTCTCTGGTCTTGGCCATTGTGGAGAGGTTGGAGGCTGTTTGATTGAGTGTGTGGACAGGTGTCTTTTATACAGGTAACGAGTTCAAACAGGTGCAGTTAATACAGGTAATGAGTGGAGAACAGGAGGGCTTCTTAAAGAAAAACTAACAGGTCTGTGAGAGCCGGAATTCTTACTGGTTGGTAGGTGATCAAATACTTATGTCATGCAATAAAATGCAAATTAATTACTTAAAACTCATACAATGTGATTTTCTGGATTTTTGTTTTAGATTCCGTCTCTCACAGTGCTGTACGATGACACCCTTGAACTACTGTCCAAATGTTCAGTGCCAGCACAATCAAATAAATAGCATAAGGTCATACAGTGCTTGCAGTTAAACGTTACAACCGAAGACATACCAAAGAGAAGTTATAAGAGCATTTTGTCAAAGTCTTAAAATATAGATTTTAGGTATTTTTCTGTTTACTGTACCTGGCTCCTTTGCTGAGTCTTGAACCACTAATGGAATATCCCTACTGATATCTTTCTTTTTGCGAATCATCAATAGCAGTGAACTGTAAAGAAACAGAAAAGAGTGAGTTGACCTTGGACCATATATAGGGCCCTATAGGGAGTTTGTCCTAACCATGTGACCTGACCAGGAAGTAAGCCTGGTCCCCGGTATGAATACTTCAAGCAGATATAGTTAATGTAAAATGTATATTGTAAATGATTCCCATTTGATCGTATCTCACCTGAGAGGGTTGGTGAGTGGGGCTGGTGGTGGAGGAGGGGGTGGCGGAGGTGGAGGGGCTGGAGCAGGAAGAGGGTTAGATAGCGCCTGGAGCTTCTTCTGCAGCTCCTCAACTGGTCAATAGAACAAATGGACGAGTAGCATCAGCATCCAATTATTAAGAGAGGTGTAAAATACATAATATTACAAACTGAATGGAAATGAAGGAGAATATTAACCCAAAAAAGGATTCTGAAGTGCCCCATGAAACTCTGTTTTTAGTCCATTGCTTTTGTTAACAACTGAAGAAAGTTCTGATATATATCATCATCCATTTAGGAGAGGCTCAACATCACAAACACTTGAAATGCATGGAAATGGCTCAGAAAATGTTTAGAGAACTGCGGGTTGAGATGATTAACCTACAAATGCATTATAAAGTGCTCTAATAAAAAAAAAGATATGGAGTCCATTGCTTTTGCTAACAAATGAAGGGCGTTCTGTGCATTTCTCTACAGTTAAAACCCAAAGTTGGCTTCAGTTGAAAACATGTTGGAATCCCATTGTCAAACCATGAGAATAACATGAACCTTTTGACAAAGCCCCCTCATTCCCTGCAGCTACTCTGTGCAGTCCTCCAATTCTGCTGTGCCACTCACCAGTAAACTTGAGATCCTTGGCCTCCACCTTAGCCTTGGAACACCTCTCCTCATGCTCCCTTCTCTCCTCCGCCAGGAGCTCTAGCTTGCGCTGTAACGCCACCACCTCTTTCTGTAGTTCTGAACCCCTGAGCTGCTCCTCAATCACCTTCATCTGTTACCGCCAAGCATTACACATTCACTCACAACCCTACAAGATATGCCGTGTACCTGGGTCATTCTTACTAAATTTGAAGTGAATATTAGGAAATAAAGAGTATGTTATGGTGGTTTTACAAGGCAAACAATTGTTCTTCACTACAGACAGAAAAATTTTGAGGCAAAAATAGTGATAAGTGGTACTGCTTTAAAACACACACACACACACACTCATGCACACTGACACAAAACAATGGAACAAATGTAAGCTGCTCAGAGCCTGCACCACAAACAGTTCCTGTGGTGATAATTGCTGATAAGTAGCTTTGGGTAGGTGCCAGTCCCAAAAGAATTCTCTACTCCTCAAATAATGTGTTAATTGTTCTTTAAATGGAGGGTATGGCTCACCTCCACCCTATACCAGGAGAGATCAGTGATCCCACTCTTTCCTAATTGTTTTCATCCATCCGAATGCTGCTGAGAGTGAATGGTGCCTCTGATACTCCTTATCAGTATGGACACAGCAAGTCGCTGCCTAAAGTGCTCCCTGTGACCATTATCATTCAAAAGGGGATCTCACAGTTTAATTGACGAGCTAACTGACTTTCAGTCTTTTTCAGAAACACATTCATATTGGTTCCACGTGCAAAACTGGAGTAGATTTCTTTCAGATTAGATATTTAGTAATTATAAAAAAGAAATATTTGACTATGAGGGAAAAGATATCTCAGCTGACAATAGATTCTAGACACAATTTTCATCACACTAAAGAAGCATTGCATTGTTGGTGTGGTGTTAATGTTGGTGTGTGACCTGTTGTTGGTGATGTGGTGTTAATGTTGGTGTGTGATCTGTTGTTGGTGTGGTGTTGGTGATGTAGTGTTAATGTTGGTGTGTGACCCGTTGTTGGTGTGGTGTTGGTAATGTGGTGTTAATGTTGGTGTGTGACCCGTTGTTGGTGTGGTGTTGGTGATGTGGTGTTAATGTTGGTGTGTGACCCGTTGTTGGTGTGGTGTTGGTGATGTGATGTGGTGTTAATGTTGGTGTGTGACCCGTTGTTGGTGTGGTGTTGGTGATGTGGTGTTAATGTAGGTGTGTGACCCGTTGTTGGTGTGGTGTTGGTGATGTGGTGTTAATGTTGGTGTGTGACCCGTTGTTGGTGTGGTGTTGGTAATGTGGTGTTAATGTTGGTGTGTGACCCGTTGTTGGTGTGGTGTTGGTGATGTGGTGTGGTGTTAATATTGGTGTGTGACCCGTTGTTGGTGTGGTGTTGGTGATGTGGTATTAATGTTGGTGTGTGACCCGTTGTTGGTGTGGTGTTGGTAATGTGGTGTTAATGTTGGTGTGTGACCTGTTGTTGGTGTGGTGTTGGTGATGTGGTGTTAATGTTGGTGTGTGACCCGTTGTTGGTGTGGTGTTGGTGATGTGGTGTTAATGTTGGTGTGTGACCCGTTGTTGGTGTGGTGTTGGTGATGTGGTGTTAATGTTGGTGTGTGACCCGTTGTTGGTGTGGTGTTGGTGATGTGGTGTTAATGTTGGTGTGTGACCCGTTGTTGGTGTGGTGTTGGTAATGTGGTGTTAATGTTGGTGTGTGACCCATTGTTGGTGTGGTGTTGGTGATGTGGTGTTAATGTTGGTGTCTGACCCGTTGTTGGTGTGGTGTTGGTAATGTGGTGTTAATGTTGGTGTGTGACCCGTTGTTGGTGTGGTGTTGGTATGTGGTGTTAATGTTGGTGTGTGACCTGTTGTTGGTGCTCCAGCCTCTGGGTCTCCAGGACCTGGGTGAGCCTGGTAACATCACTGAGGGCTGCCTGCAGGGCCTCACTGGGTGAGGAGCTCTTTAGCACAATCTGACTCTGTCTGTTCAGCTTCTTCTGCTCAACCAGCATCTGCATGGGAGGAGGATTTACACAAGGGACAGAAGCTGTCAATATCTAACAGCAGTGTTAACTGTGTTGATACATTACTGCATTTGAAATGTGTAATACCTCAAGGGAAAATAAGTATAATCCAGCCTGTTGTAGCAGTAAATTAACCATACCTGTAGTTTTAGTGTAATAAACAAATATTTCAGTATGCCGATAAAAGCACCTGAGCATGTTTAGAAACCAGTGAGGCTATTCAAAATGTGGGTTTGCAGAGAGGCCATATATAGAGGTCTCATTATGCAGCATGCCTAGTGTGGTCATTCACTTATCTATATATGGTCTTAAAAATTATCTCTGGTGATAAAACATAATGAATAGAGTGTTCCTGAATACTGATTAGATTGCAAGGGGGAAGAGTACTAATCTGGACACCATATAGAACATACATGTCATACAATTATGTGGCACTTCTAAGATATTCATGCCATATCTTAAACACAGCGGCATCACATTTTCTCAACATAAGAAAAACGGTATACCATTGGATACTGGTGTCCAATGTTACAGCCCAAATTCATAATTCATATGGGGGCCGATTCCGACCCGAGTTAGGCGCGCGTAAATGGAACCTAATTCCCTTTTATGCACTTTTCTCTCTATGCGTATTCTGACCTTGAATTTAAGCATGAGAATAGCATGCTATTCAACCGTTATTCGTTCGGGGTGGAGATGGAATAAATGAAGGTGTGGCTGAGGTGTGTCTACAGAAAAGTCTTCATAATTCCACCACCTTTACGTGCGAGGAAGCCATGAATAAGGTCGCGCGAACCTCTACTTTCTTTTTTATGATAAAATAACAACATTCTCCATTCACAGTAATTTATAAATTAATAAGAGCTATTGATAAGATCTAGGTAAATGAGTAATCCGTTTGGAGAAGGGATTGTAAATACACATAGCAATTGTTTTAGATGACATTTCCTTATGATCCCTGGAGATGAATCTGAAACCAGTAATTTGGAAGCAAACTGAAAATCATATCATCATATCACATGACATGTATTGCGCCCCATTTTCCACAGTGAAGTAGGCTATTCAGAATTGTAATTGTGTGCCCTCATAATTTGCTGAAATAATTGTGGGTATAACTTTGAGAAAAAAATGTGTAGACCTCCACAAGTCTGGTTCATTCTTGGGAGCAATTTCCAAAAGCCTGAAGGTACCACGTTCATCTGTACAAACAACAGTACACAAGTATAAACACCATGGGACCACGCAGCCGTCATACTGCTCAGGAAGGAGACGTGTTCTGTCTCCTAGAGATGAACATACTTTGGTGCGAAAAATGCAAATCAATCCCAGAACAACGGCAAAGGACCTTGTGAAGATGCTGGAGGAAACAGGTACAAAAGTATCTATATCCACAGTAAAACGAGTCCTATATCGACATAACCTGAAAGGCCGCTCAGCAAGGAAGAAGCCACTGCTCCAAAACCGCCATAAAAAAGCCAGACTACGGTTTGCAACTGCACATGGGGACAGAAATAGAACTGTTTGGCCATAATGACCATCGTTATGTTTGGAGGAAAAAGGGGGTTGCTTGCAAGCCGAAGAACACCATCCAAACCGTGAAGCACGGGGGTGGCAGCATCATGCTGTGGGGGTGCTTTGCTGCAGGAGGGACTGGTGCACTTCACAAAATAGATGGCATCATGAGGAAGGAAATTTATGTGGATAAATGGCTTAAGGACAACAAAGTCAAGGTATTGGAGTGGCCATCACAAAGCCCTGACCTCAATCCTATAGAACATTTGTGGGCAGAACTGAAAAAGCGTATACGAGCAAGGAGGCCTACAAACCTGACTCAGTTACACCAGCTTTGTCAGGAGGAATGGGCCAAAATTCACCCAACGTATTGTGGGAAGCTTGTGGAAGGCTACCCGAAACGTTTGACCCAAGTTAAACAATTTAAAGGCAATGCTACCAAATACTAATTGACTGTATGTAAACTTCTGACCCACTGGGAATGTGATGAAATAAATAAAAGCTGAAATAAATCATTCTCTCTACTATTATTCTGACATTTCACATTCTTAAAATAAAGTGGTGATCCTAACTGACCTAAGACAGGGAATTTTTTACCAGGATTAAATGTCAGGAATTGTGAAAAACTGAGTTTAAATGTATTTGGCTAAGGTGTATGTAAACTTCCGACTTCAACTGTACATACTTTGCTAAACCCAAAATGAGCCAAAATAATCTACAAAATCAGAGTATTTTAAAATCTACCAGTTGGTGCTGAAACGGAGACGAATATGCATATATTTAGATGGATTTCTTTAATTGATCCCTATATTCTGAACCCGTTCTCTCAATGTATTCTGTCGACAAAATTCTAATCTAAGGTACCCCGTATTTAAACAGATGTCTTAAGATAAATGTACTGAAAACCCTATTGAATGAAAACTCCACGAGAAAATCTGTTGGGCAGCAAGTGGGAGGGTTTTTAGCGGTTTAATTAAACGTATTCAGCGCATGCAAGGGAACCAGGCCTGCAAAGCCCGTTATGCACCTGCATAAGGTAAGTCTAAATACCAACTACTGAGAAGTGCGTAGGAAAGGCATAAATGTCCTAGATCGGAATCAACCCCTTACAGATGAACACAGCCACCTTGACTGATATTAGGGCAATGGCTTGATTCCATTGTTTACTTGTTGGGAAACAGCCATGATGCATCATATTAGTGTCTAAGCGATGAGTCAGTAGGAAAACAAGTTCATGATCAGGTACCCGCAAAATGGGATTGGGAACAAGCATTTTAATCACAGTTAACCCACTTTGAACACAATGGTTGAATCAACATTGTTTCCACGTAATTTCAGTTAAATTACATTGAACCAACGTGAAATAGACGTTCAATTGACGTCTGTGCCCAGGGGGAAGGAGACATGTCGAGCTGACAGAAATACCCCATCCAAAGCTGCTAAGCCTATTATGGGTACCTAGAGAGAGCTTACCTCTCGTGCAAATTTCTCTGCCTCTGCCCTCAGGTCCCTCTCCAGATCCAGGTTTTCCTGCAGGGCCTCGTACTCCTCCACAGCAAACAGCGACACTGGAAGCAGAAAATATCTAATCAGAACTTGTAAAACGGCACAAATCTGCTGACAGCGCACCTGTTTCACCTGCATATTTCATGTGTAGATCAAGCTTTCTTGCATATTTCCCTTTATCCCTTTTTTCTGGTCAGTTGGCCCTAATCTTAACCCTGACCTTAACCTTAAATCTGACCTTAATCTTAATCTCAACATTAAACCTTAGTCTTAATCCCTAACCTTAACCCACACCTTCAAACAAAGCTTAACTGCAAACTGGTAACCTAAAATATAAATTTAAACTGTGAAAAATAATACATTCTGTAATTAGCAGGCAGTATAAAACGTTATGGAAAACCTTGAAACTCAAGATGTGGAGGGGGAATTCACTTTTCACAACCAACATGCCCCCTGAAAAGCAAGCCAGCCAAGGACCAAATGAATATTTCTGTAAGAAATATGCCTCTAGTCACTAAGGATCACCCAGCATTCACAGCACAGTAAGGGGGTTCAGGCTTCACTTGACTCTTCTTTCTGTCAAATGTAACCCCACTCAAGGTTGCGCTGTACAAAAAGCCACAGAGAGTAGGGCGCCTTAACTGCCATGCAGAAAGGTGGCCACGGATGTCACACTAGTCTCTTTGGCCTAGCCGTGGCGTTGGAAGCGAAAATATTGCAGTTGAGAAGACTCTCTGACCTCTGTTGTATTTCGCCAAGAGCTTCTTTTGTCGGACTGTCTCAGCAATCAAAACCATATTATCATGTTTTTCTGTCAGCAACTACAGTGAAGAGAGGAAGAGAAAAAGACAGAAGAGAGTTAATTTGATTGTGCTGTTAATTGATTTCTCAAATAATTGAATTGCGACCCTATTGTTAGAATACTGGAGATGGAAATCATTCTAGGTCTCCATTTATTATTTGTCCTAATTGTATGAATGTGCATAGGCCTACTCTATGACAACATCATAAGGACATTGCGCATGATTAATCTGTTTCACCGAGAGGATCAACACAAATGTTCTACTTCAGAGATGGATTTTGAAACAAATAGCAACAAAAAAAAGCTCTGAAGAAGGCCAAGAGGCCGACATGTAAGCTTAAATAAAGTAAATGATACAAGCAAGAGTAGTGTGCAGCTTTTCTTTCAAACTAATAGCAACAAATAGTATTTTTAAACCACTCCCAAATCTATATTCAGACTTACTTCTTCCCTAATGTCCCTTAATTCCTCTCTTGTAGCCTCATGATCAATGGCGGCTTGCTTTTTCTCCTCCAGTGTCAACTCCAATTTATTCTTCAGTTCTGGCCCATGAAAATTCAAAATAAGTACAGTGGCTTGCGAAAGTATTCACCCCCCTTCACATTTTTCCTATTTTGTTGCCTTACAACCTGGAATTAAAATGGATTTTTGGGGGGTTTGTATCGTTTGATTTACACAACATGCCTACCACTTTGAAGATGCAAAATATTTATTATTGTGAAACAAACAAGAAATAAGACAAAAAAACTGAAAACTTGAGCGTGCATAACTATTCCCCCCCCATAGCGTTTTCCATTATGGCCAAAAAGCTCAATTTTAGTCTCATCTGACCAGAGTACCTTCTTCCATATGTTTGGGGAGTCTCCCACATGCCTTTTGGCGAACACACAATGTGTTTGCTTATTTTTTTCTTTAAGCAATGGCTTTTTTCTGGCCACTCTTCCGTAAAGCCCAGCTCTATGGAGTGTACGGCTTAAAGGGGTCCTATGGACAGATACTCCAATCTCCGCTGTGGAGCTTTGCAGCTCCTTCAAGGTTATCTTTGGTCTCTTTATTGCCTCTCTGATTAATGCCCTCCTTGCCTGGTCCGTGAGTTTTGGTGGGTGGCCCTCTCTTGGCAGGTTTGTTGTGGTGCCATATTCTTTCCATTTTTTAATAATGGATTTAATGGTGCTCTGTGGGATGTTCAAAGTTTCGGGTATTTCTTTATAACCCAACCCTGATCTGTACTTCTCCACTACTTTGTCCCTGACCTGTTTGGAGAGCTCCTTGGTCTTCATGGTGCCGCTTGCTTGGTGGTGCCCCTTGCTTAGTGGTGCTGCAGACTCTGGGGCCTTTCAGAACAGGTGTATATATACTGAGATCATGTGACAGATCATGTGACACTTAGATTGCACATAGGTGGACTTTATTGAACTAATTATGTGACTTCTGAAGGTAATTGGTTGCACCAGATCTTATTTAGGGGCTTCATAGCAAAGGGGTGAATACAAATGCACGCACCACTTTTCCGTTATTTATTCTTTAGAATTTTTTGAAAAAATGTATTTTTTTAATTTCACTTCACCAATTTGGACTATTTTGTGTATGTCCATTACATGAAATCCAAATAAAAAATATATTTAAATTACAGGTTGTAATGCAACAAAATAGGAAAAACGCCAAGGGGGATGAATACTTTTGCAAGGCACTTAATCTTGCAATCAATGATCAATCATGTTGTATGTACTAGATCGTACAGAATACCAATAGTCTATCGGTCAAATAAGTAACAACAAAAGAGATCTCTTCCATTCATCAGGAATGCCATCTAAGACAACCTGTGATAGATCTGAAATCTGTGTGTAATATCAGTGCATCAGTGTTTCGAGTAAAAGCGGTATGGACACTATTTGGAATAGCTGCTGTGGATATGTGGGAAAGGGGACAGCAGGGTGACATCCAGTACCTGTGATGGTGCTCTGGCAGTGGGCTGAGGAGCACTCTTTTTCTACCTGAGTGTCCCCACTCTCCTCCTCCTCCTCCTCTTCTTCATCCTTCAGGCTGATCTCAGCAATGGTCTCCGGCCCCAGGTGGGCCAGGTACAACATACTCTTCCTCTTCAAGGAGCGGTTCTGCCGGTTCAACTGGAGGAAGAAAGAGAGAGAGGGAGAGAAATAGATGACCTTATGACCTTATGAAAACAGATGCAGAAGAGGCTGACTGAACTCTTTCAGAGCTTTCATATAGAGAGAACCTGGTGCTTTGGATTTACTATAATTGGTCTTTCTCCTCTTTTTGATGGTATGTCATTAGCATGCAATTATGCAGGTTAGCGATTTTCGTAATGAATCTTGTTCTGGAGGCAGCTCTGCAGAGTGGTCACTAGCTGGCACAACCACAAATTCATAAAATCTGATTTTAAACCTAACCCTAACCCTAACCTTAACCACAATGCTAACCCTAATGCCTAACCCTAACCTTAAATTAAAGGGGCAATCTGCAGTTGCTACTTCCAATTTTAGTCTTTTAAATTAATATATATATATATATATATATATATATATATATATATATATATATATATATATATATATACACACACACACATACCCATTGAGCTTAGTATACCCCATTAGAACCCCAAATATAAGCAAGTTTTACTCCTTGTTTGTAAACAATGTAAATGGGTTTTCTTTAAAACAATGTTTAGCCTCAAAACATGGTTCAAACTATAATTTTGATACCATGGATGGTCAGTCCCTGTATCCATAGCGCTGTCCATGAGCGTAGATACATTTCTCCAGCCACATCCCTCAGCTGTTTACCAAATTAGTGGTGGGGTTCGTTATTGTTCAAACTGCAGATTTCCCCTTTAAGACCAAAAAAGCAGATGTTTGTTTCCATGAACTTCGACAATATAGGCAATTTTGATTTTGCAGCTGGCCCATCTAGCGGAAATCACTCAGTTCTGCCTCCAGTCCAGGACAAGACTTATCCCAATAAACATAAATCTGCTGCAATTATGGTCAAACTATTATAGTTGTATTATAGTAAAGTGTCATGATGTTCTGGTTGTTATAGGTTAGTACTATTGCTCAGAACCACATGAAATAGGTTTGAACACTGATTGAATTTCACTTGGTAGTGGCTTGAGTGCAGCCTACCTGTCCTTGCAGCTCATAGCATATTCCATAAGCAAGCAATTCACTAAAGATAAGGCAAAACGCAGAAATTTACACAAAACAAATGTTAGGTTATTTTTTTATCCAGACAGCATCTCAAGAACATTTCATATAATACAGATGGGGGGAAAGCACAAATAATAGGAAATGTGGCCAAGATATGCCAGATAAAATGTTGGTCCGATTTCCTCATTCATCGTCCCTTCAATCACACTGTGCCTGTAAGTGGCATCGGGGAGGGATGCACAAGGAATAATCAACCATCTCATTAGAAAGAGCCAGGGGAAAAGGCCTGACGACAATGTATCACTGCTTTTAGACACAATCACAGTATTTTATGAAACGCATTTTTACAGTACATCCCTCATTCCTATGGCATGTTGGACTTTGTATCCCTTTTCTTTACAAATTCCACGAAATTTGATCAGTTCAGCCTAAGCCATCCATATTGAACTGCCAGTATGAAACATTCAAATTCTTAAGTTCTATCATCAAGACAGCCATATGTGTCAATTAGGCATACTACTACTAAGTAAAGAATAATTAAGCCTAAGGCAAGAGGATGGATGAAAATTATGCACATTTCTTGATGTGATTTCAGACGGAAAGTGTGGCAAGAAGAAAAAAGCAGAGCTATAAGAGGCATTTATTAATGACATCCTAGTCAGGGCAGATTGCAGCAATTCCATTTTCTGATGATGCCCTTTAAAGTGCATCTTTTAAAAATGCAATCAACAATACATAACACAGAATCACAGTCTTTGATAATACTCTACTATTGATGAGAGCGAATGTATGAAATTACATACTCAGAGAAATCAGGCCGGCTCGCAGGAAGGCTATCCGCGGCGCTTCAGAGGTCACCATTACAAAGTCACAGCCCCCTCATCTTCTTTGATCAAACATCAACACAAAACATCTGATTTGACTGGTGACAAATAGCAGGCTCCCGCTATTATTGCTTTTTACTTTAAAATGTTGGAGAGTTTAAGATTTTTATGGAACTTGTTTTTCTCCGGCTTTCCTTGTGTGCTGTTGGCAGGCAAAATTACCAGCGTTGGGCTCAAGAAAATGTAATTTTACGTGAGACCACCCAAAATATTTTGTGTCATCTTCATAATGACACTTGTTGGATTCAAACACATTTAATACATTTTCTATTATTGCATTTATGATTTTTTTTTACCACACACTATCCTAATGCCTTATTGCAAAAATAACGAATTAGTTGGATCTCATTGTATTCCATTAACATGTGTACCACCTCACACATCCTCCTCGTATTGTTCACACCTCGCCCTGCTGTAGTCATATCGGAAATACTGTCTAGGTCAGGGGTATTCAACTGCGGGTCCTGCAAGGGGTCATTGAAAATATTGAAGAATACTTTTTTTATTTTTTGTTAAATTTTGTTATGAATATCGCTAGCAACTACAGAATAAATTACAAAAATATTACATACCTACAGTAGAAAACTGAAGAATATCTTATTTCTAATGATGTGAACTTCTTTTCTTAACACCTAATATTGAGCAAATGACATTAATTGGAGCCAATTACACTTACACACCCGCGAACAGGCTACCAGTGAGGCCAGTGCTGGTAAGTTTTCTTGACTTGGACATTTTTGCCAACACATGGCTAACCTTTGTTTAACCAGTTGAACACCTACTCTTAGCAAAAATGTGTTTGAAGTTATCTTTCTAGCTAATAGGCTATGTTAGAGTTTACACTTCCTCTTCCAATGACACAGCCACCTTGACTGATATTAGGGCAACGGCCTGATTCCATTGTTTACTTGTTGGGAAACAGCCGTGATGCATCATATTAGTGTCTTAAGCTGCCAGTATAATGCTGTACATTTACAGGGAAAAGTTTTACAGTGTGTTCTAGTTACTTCACAAAAGTAATGCGCAAATACAAGAAAAAGGGAAGCGACATTAACACTTTTCCCCCCGGACAACAGTACAATATTTCCAGGTGGTTGTCGTCGACAACAATTAATTTGTTATCATGTGTTCTACATTCTTTACTATTTTCACAAGTATGTGGTGAATTTTCTAAACTCTTAGTACAAAACTCCAAACTGGTAACAATTGCACTGCAGCAAGTCTTACATTCTAAGCCTTTCATTGTGCATTCATTTTGGTTGTAGACATCTTTCACCACACAATCATTTATCCAAAATAGAAGTTTACTGTGAAATACTGTATAATGAGTACATTAGTTTAATCACCAAAACATAACATATTGATATCTTCTCAATTTAGTTATTTTAACAACCAGCTAATCCAATAGCAAAAAATGTAAGATACATTTGTAAGTCGCTCTGGATAAGAGCGTCTGCTAAATGACTTAAATGTAAATGTAATGTTTCAAAATTGCCCTTTGAATGTAGTATGCCACAATACCGTAAATTACAGTATATTACACTGTTTTCACATTAGGCAACACACTAGCACTACCCATTAAAATGTACTAAAAATCACATTACCATAATCTCTATCCCATGTGTGATCAAAGGTGTGATCATTGAAGACATCTTTCACAATGTAATCAAATGAAAGAAATGAAAGAAACATTATGTTTAGCAGCACTAGTTTGCATCAAACCTGTCTTGAGCGTTTGGGCATAGGTTCTCATTGAAATCGCAGTAAATATCCTCATTGTTCATGCACCTTGGGAAAAACTTTTTGGCATTGCGATTCCAAGCCTGACATAGGTCTGGATTGAAATCATTGCACTGCTAAATTACTAAAATGTAAATTACTCAGTACCACTCTCCGTATTTTCAAGCAGAGTGGTGGCTGCATCATGCTATGGGTCTGCTTGTAATCGTTAAAGACAGGGGAGCTTTTCAGGATAAAAAAGAAATGGAATGGAGCTAAGCACAGGTAAAATCCTAGAGGAAAACCTGGTTCATTCTGCTTTCTACCAGACACTGGGACATGTCCTTTCAGCAGGACAATAACCTAAAACACAAGGCCAAATCAACACTGGAGTTTCTTACCAAGAGACAGTGAATGTTCCTGAGTAGCCGAGTTACAGTTTTGACTTAAATCTGCTTGAAAATCTATGGCAACACTTGAAAATGGTTGTCTAGCAATGATCAACAACCAATTGGACAGAGCTTGAAGAATTTTGAAAAGAATAATGGGCAAATATTGCGCAATCCAGGTGTGCAAACCTCTTACAGAATTACCCAGAAAGACTCACAGCTGTAATCACTGCCAAAGGTGATTCTAACATGTACTGACTCAGGGGTGTGAATACTTATGTAAATTAGATATCTGTATTTAATTTTCAATAAATTTGCAAAATGTTCTACAAACATGTTTTTACTTTGTCATTATGGGCTATTGTGTGTAGATGGGTGAGAAACAAAATAAATGTAATCCATTTTGAATTCAGTCACTAGCCCAACAAAATGTGGAATAAGTCAAGGGGTATGAATACTTCCTGAAGGCACTCTGATCATGGCAATATAACATGTTAAAAAACTTACTGTGAAGTAAAACCATAATAGTCATCATCATAGTAGTACATTTGAGTATATACACTATATACAGTGCCTTCAGAAAGTATTCAGACCCCTTGACTTTTTCCACATTTTGTTACTTTACAGTCTTACTCTAAAATTGATTAAATAATGTTTTGCCTCATCAATCTACACACAATACCCCATAATGACAAAGCAAAAGAAGATTTTTAGATTTTTTTGCAAATGTATTAAAAATAAAAAACAGAAATACCTTATTTACATAAGTATTCAGACCCTTTGCTATGAGACTCGATATTGAGCTCAGGTGCATCCTGTTTCCATTCATAATCCTTAAGATGTTTATTCAACTTGATTGGAGTCCACCTGTGGTAAATTCAATTGATTGGACAATATTTGGAAAGGCAAACACCTGTCTATATAAGGTCCAACAGTTGACATTGCATGTCAGAGCAAAAAACAAGCCATGAGGTCGAAGGAATTGTCCCCTAGAGCTCCGAGACAGGATTGCGTCGAGGAATAGATCTGGGGAAGGGTACCAAAACATGTCTGCAGCATTGAAGGTGCCCAAGAACACAGCGGCCTCCATCATTCTTAAATGGAAGATGTTTGGAACCACCAAGAATCTTCCTAGAGCTGGCCGCCCGGCCAAACTGAGCAATCGGGGGAGGAGGGCCTTGGTCAGGGAGGTGACCAAAAACCTGATGGTCACTCTGACAGAGCTCCAGAGTTCCTCTGTGGAGATGGGAGAACCTTCCAGAAGGACAACCATCTCTGCAGTACTCCACCAATCAGGCCTTTATGGTAGAGTGGCCAGACGGAAGCCACTCCTCAGTAAAAGGCACATGACAGCCCGCTTGGAGTTTGCCAAAAGGCATCTAAAAGACTCAGTCCATGAGAAACAAGATTCTCTGGTCTGATGAAATCAAGATTGAACTCTTTGGTCTGAATGCCAAGCGTCACGTCTGGAGGGAACCTGGCACCATCCCTACAGTAAAGCATGGTGGTGGTAGCATCATGCTGTGGGGATGTTTTTCAGCGGCAGGGACTGGGATGATGGCGCTGGAGTGCAATGATGGCGCCGGAGGGGATGGCTGCCGTTTTATAGACTCTTAACCAATCGTGCTATTTTGTGTGTTTTTTCGCATTGTCTGTAACTTATTTTGTACATAATGTTGCTGCTACCGTCTCTTATGACCGAAAAGAGCTTCTGGACATCAGAACAGCAATTACTCACCTTGAACTGGATGACATTTTTTTATTTTATGAGTCGGACGAGAGGGATTTTCTCCAGACACCCGACAGGACCCTCATTCCCGTCATTCACAGTAGAAAGAAAATGAGATATCGCGGTAGGAGATCGGGGTGCTTGGTTAGGAGCCCGCGACGAGTGGCTAATCTGCCTTTGCCATCGATACTATTGGCCAACTTACAATCGCTTGATAATAAAGTGGACGAACTACAGGCACGAATATCCTACCAACGGGACATTAAAAACGGTAATATCTTATGTTTCACCGAGTCGTGGCTGAACGATGACATGAATAACATACAGCTGGCGGGTTTTACACTGTATCGGCAGGATAGAACAGCAGCCTCTGGTAAAACAAGGGGTGGCGGTCTATGTATATTTGTAAACAACAGCTGGTGCACGATATCTAAGGAAGTCTCAAGGTTTTGCTCGCCTGAGGTAGAGTATCTCATGATAAGCTGTAGACCACACTATCTACCAAGAGAGTTTTCATCTATATTCTTTGTAGATGTCTATTTACCACCGATGCTGGCACTAAGACCACACTCAATGAACTGTATACGGCCATAAGCAAACAGGAAAACGCTCATCCAGAGGTGGCACGCCTAGTGGCCGGGGAATTTAATGCAGGGAAACTTAAATCCGTTTTCCCTCATTTCTACCAGCATGTTAAATGTGAAAGCAGAAGGGAAAAAAACTCTAGACCACCTTTAATCCACACACAGAGACGCGTACAAAGCTCTTCCTCGCCCTCCATTTGGATCTGACCATAATTCTATCCTCCTGCTTACAAGCAAAAACTAAAGCAGGTAGCACCAGTGACTCGGTCAATAAAAAAGTGGTCAGATGAAGCAGATGCTAAGCTACAAGACTGTTTTGCTAGCACAGACTGGAATATGTTCCGGGATTCTTCCGATGGCATTGAGGAGTACACCACATCAGTTACTGGCTTCAAATCAAATCAAATCAAATTGTATTTGTCACATACACGTGTTTAGCAGATGTTATAGCGGGTGTAGCGAAATGCTTGTGCTTCTAGCTCCGACAGTGCAGTAATATCTAACAAGTAATAGCTAACAATTTCACAACATATACCCAAAACACACAAAACTAGTAAGGAATGGGATTTAAGAATATATACATATATGGATAAGCAATGACAGAGCGGCATGGACTAAGATACAGTAGAATGTTATAGAATAGAATGCAGTATATACATATGAGATGAGTAGTCCTAGATATGTAAACATTATTAAAGTGACTAGTGTTCCATTTCTTAAAGTGGACAGTGATTTCAATAGGCAGAAGCAGCCTCTAATGTGCTAGTGATGGCTATTTAACAGTCTGATGGCCTTGAGATAGAAGCTGTTTTTCATTCTCTCGGTCCCAGCTTTGATGCACCTGTACTGACCTCGCCTTCTGGATGATAGCGGGGTGAACAGGCAGTGGCTCGGGTGGTTGATGTCCTTGATGATCTTTTTGGCCTTCCTGTGACATCAGGTGCTGTATGTATCTTGGAGGGCGGGTAATTTGCCCCCGGTAATGCGTTCGGCAGACCGAACCACCCTCTGGAGAGCCCTGCGGTTGTGGGTGGTGCAGTTGCCGTACCAGGCGGTGGTACAGCCCGACAGGATGCTCTCAATTGTGCATCTGTAAATGTTTGTGAGGGTTTTAGGTGCTAAGCCAAATTTATTCAGCCTCCTGAGGTTGAAGAGGCTCTGTTGCGCCTTCTTCACCACACTGTCTGTGTGGGTGGACCATTTCAGTTTGTCGGTGATGTGTACGCCAAGGAACCTGAAGCTTTCCACCTTCTCCACTGCGGTCCCGTCGATGTGGATAGGGGGGTGCACCCTCTGCTGTTTCCTGAAGTCCACAATCATCTCCTTTGTTTTGTTGATGTTGAGTGAGAGGTTATTTTCATGGCACCACACTCCCAGAGCCCTCACCTCCTCCCTGTAGACGGTCTCGTCATTGTTGGTAATCAAGTCTACTACTGTTGTGTCGTCTGCAAACTTGATGATTGAGTTGGAGGTGTGCTTGGCCACACATTCTTGGGTGAACAGGGAGTACAGGAGGGGGCTGAGCACGCACCCTTGTGGGGCCCCAGTGTTGAGGATCAGCAAAGTGGAGATGTTGTTTCCTACCTTCACCACCCGGGGGCGGCCTGTCAGGAAGTCTAGGATCCAGTTGCACAGGGCGGGGTTCAGACCCAGGGCCTCGAGCTTAATGATGAGCTTGGAGGGTACTATGGTTTTGAATGCTGAGGTATAGTTAATAAGTGCATCGATGACGTCGTCCCCACAGTGACTGTACGTACATACCCCAACCAGAAGCCATGGATTACAGGCAACATCTGCACTGAGCTAAAGGGTAGAGCTGCCGCTTTCAAGGAGCGGGACTCTAACCCGGAAGCTTATAAGAAATCCCGCTATGCCCTCCGACGAACCATCAAACAGGCAAAGCGTCAATACAGGACTAAGATCTAATCGTACTACACCGGCTCCGACGCTCGCTGGATGTAGCAGGGCTTACAAACTATTACAGACTACAAAGGGAAGCTGTCCAGCAACACGACCCTCCCAGATGAGCTAATTACGTCTATGCTCGCTTTGAGGCAAGTAACACTGAAACATGCATGAGAGCATCAGCTGTTCCGGATGACTGTGTGATCACGCTCTTCGTAGCCGATGTGAGTAAGACCTTTAAACAGGTCAACATTCACAAGGGTGCAGGGCAAGACGGATTACCAGGACGTGTACTCCGAACATGCGTTGACCAACTGGAAAGTGTCTTCACTGACATTTTCTCCCTGTCTGAGTCTGTAATACCAATATGTTTCAAGCAGACCACCATAGTCCCTGTGCCCAAGAACACTAACCTGCCTAAATGACTACCGACCCGTAGCACTCATGTCTGTAGCAATGAAGTGTTTGAAAGGCTGGTCATGGCTCACATCAACACCATTATCCCAGAAACCCTAGACCCACTCCAATTTGCAAATCGCAGCAACAGATCCACAGATCCACAGATCTATTGCGCTCCACACTGCCCTTTCACACCTGGACAAAAGGAACACCTATGTGAGAAAGCTATTCATTGACTACAGCTCAGCGTTCAACACCATAGTGCCCTCAAAGCTCATCACTAAGCTAAGGACCCTGGGACTAAACACCTCCCTCTGCAACTGGATCCTGGACTTCCTGACGGGCCACCCCCAGGTGGTAAGGGTAGGTAACAACACATCCACCACGCTGATCCTTAACACGAGGGCCCCTCAGGGGTGCGTGCTCAGACCCATCCTGTACTCACTGTTCACTTATGACTGCATGGCCAGGCACGACTCCAACACCATCATTAAGTTTGCCGATGACACAACAATGGTAGGCCTGATCACCGACAACGACGAGACAGCCTATAGGGAGGAGGTCAGAGACCTGGCCGTGTGGTGCCAGGACAACAACCTCTCCCTCAGCGTGACCAAGACAAAGGAGATGATTGTGGACTACAGAACAAAGAAGAGGACCGAGCACGCCCCCATTCTCATCGACGGAGCTGTAGTGGAGCAGGTTGAGAGCTTCAAGTTCCTTGGTGTCCACATCACCAACAAACTAACATGGTCCAAGCACACCAAGACAGTCGTGAAGACGGCACGGCAAAACCTATTCCCCCTAAGGAGACTGAAAAGATTTGGCATGGGTCCTCAGATCCTCAAAAGTTTCTACAGCTGCACCATCGAGAGCATACTGACTGGTTGCATCACTGCCTGGTATGGCAACTGCTCGCCCTCCGACCGCAAGGCACTACAGAGGGTAGTGCATACGGCCCAGTACATCACTGGGACCAAGCATCCTGCCATCCAGGACCTCTATACCAGGTGGTGTCAGAGGAAGGCCCTACAAATTGTCAAAGACACCAGCCACCCTAGTCATAGACTGTTCTCTCTGCTACCGCACGGCAAGCGGTACCGGAGCGCCAAGTCTAGGTCCAAGAGGCTTCTAAACAGCTTCTACCCCCAAGCCATAAGACTCCTGAACATCTAATGAAATACCCAGACTATTTGCATTGCCCCCTCACCCCTCTTTTACGCTGCTGCTACTCTCTGTTTATTATCTATGCATAGTCAATTTAATAATTCTACCTACATGTACATATTACCCCAATTACCTCGACAGACCGGTGGCCCCGCACATTAACTCGGTACCGGTACCCCCTGTATATAGCCTTGCTATTGTTATTGTTACTGCTGCTCTTATTTTCTTCTTCTTAAAACGGCATTGTTGGTTAAGGGCTTGTAAGTAAGCATTTCACTGTAAGGTTTACACCTGTTGTATTCAGCGCATGTGACCAATACAATTTGATTTGATTTGATTTGAGACTAGTCAGGATTGAGGGAAAGATGAATGGAGCAAAGTACAGAGAGATCCTTGATGAAAACCTGCTCCAGAGCCCTCAGGACCTCAGACTCGGGCGAAGGTTCACCTTCCAACAGGACAACAACCCTAAGCACACAGCCAGGACAACGCAGGAGTGGCTTTGGGACAAGTCTCTGAATGTTTTTGAGTGGCCCAGCCAGAGCCTGGACTTGAAACTGATCGAACATCTCTGGAGAAACTTGAAAATAGCTGTGCAGCGACGCTCCCCATCCAACCTGACAGAGCTTGAGAGGATCTGCAGAGAAGAATGGGAGAAACTCCCCAAATACAGGTGTGCCAAGCTTGTAGTGTCATACCCAAGAAGACTCAAGGCTGTAATCGCTGCCAAAGGTGCTTCAACAAAGTACTGAGTTAAGGGTCTGAACACTTATGTAAATGTAATATTTCCATATTTCATTTTTTATACATTTGCAAAAATGTATAAAAACCTGTTTTTGCTTTGTCATTATGGGGTATTGTGTGTAGATTGATGAGGGGAAAAAAACAATTTAATCAATTTTAGAATAAAGCTGTAACGTAACAAAATGTGGAAAAAGTCAAGGGATCTGAATACTTTCCGAATGCACTGTATACAGTACAAAAGTATGTGGACATCCCTTCAAATTAGTGGATTCGGCTATTTCAGCCACACCTGTTGCTGACAGGTGTATAAATCGAGCACGCCGCCATGCAATCTCCATAGACAAACATTGGCAGTAGAATGGCCTTACTGAACAGCTCAGTGACTTTCAACGTGGCACCGTCATAGGATGCCACCTTTCCAACAAGTCAGTTCGTCAAATTTCTGCCCTACTAGAGCTGCCCCAGTCAACTGTAAGTGCTGTTATTGTGAAGTGGAAATGTTTAGGAGCAACAACGGCTCAGCCGCGAAGTGGTAGGCCACAGAAGCTCACAGAACGGGACCACCGAGTAAAAATCGTCTGTCCTCGGTTGCAACACTCACTACCGAGTTCCAAACTGCCTCTGGAAGCAATGTCAGTACAAGAACTGTTCGTTGGGAGCCGCACACAAGCCTAAGATCACCATGCGCAATGCCAAGCGTTGGCTGGAGGGGTGTAAAGCTCGCCACCATTGGACTCTGGAGCAGTGGAAACGCGTTCTCTGGAGTGATGAATCACGCTTCACCATTTGGCAGTCCGACGGACAAATCTGGGTATGGCGGATGCCAGGAGAACGCTACCTGCCCGAATGCATAGTGCCAACTGTAAAGTTTGGTGGAGGAGGAATAATGGTCTGGGGCTGTTTTTCATGGTTCGGGCTAGGCCCCTTAGTTCTAGTGAAGAGAAATCTTAACACTACAGCATGCAATGACAATCTATACGATTCTGTGCTTCCAACTTTGAGGCAACAGTTTGGGGAAGGCCCTTTCCTGTTTCAGCATGACAATGCCTCTGTGCACAAAGCGAGGTCCATACAGAAATGGTTTGTCAAGATCGGTGTGGAAGAACTTGACTGGCCTGCACAGAGCCCTGACCTCAACTCCATCTAACACCTTTGGGATGAATTGGAATGCCGACTGCGAGCCAGGTCTAATCGCCCCAAAATCAATTCCCGACCTCACTAAGGCTCTTGTGGCTGAATAGAAGCAAACCCCCACAGCAATGTTCCAACATCTAGTGGAAAGCCTACCCAGAAGAGTGGAGGCTGTTATAGCAGCAAAGGGAGGACCAACTCCATATTAATGCCCATGGTTTTGGAATGAGATGTTCGACAAGCAAGTGTCCACATACTTTTGGTAATGTAGTGTATCATACTTTTTATGTTTATACTTTACAGATATACATTTTCATTATGTAGTTGTCAAAATCTATAGTAGACAAACCAGTATACATGTCAAATCTATAGGTTTACCAAACGTTTATGTGATCATCAATTAAGAGCACGCTGATTAAGTAATAGTAAAATGTATTTGAACAAAAGAGAAGATCATTATATCAAAAGTAATGTGATCATTGCATTGTGCAAGGCAATTACTTTATGTGAACATGTATTGCAATGTGAAACACTGATTAAGTTTGGTGAAAAAGTGACTGTATGATTTTGTGTGTTGTACTTAGTCAATTGAAAATGTGCTTAGAGTTTTGAAACAACTGTTTTGAGTTTTGTACTAGGAGTTGTGAAAATGTATCACATACTGTACTTGTGAAAATTGCACCAAAGCAAAAAAATAATAAACTGTAATCAAATAGCATTTCAAATGTTATAAAATATGCATATACATAGATGGCCATATGGATGCCCAATAGCAACTGTAATAACATCAACTAATCCTTATGCAATGATCACCATCAGAGTTTTTCCCAGAACATAATTTTTTTATAAACAATATTATAGCAAAAACATTCATATGTGTAGAAAGCACAGCTGCATGTAGCCCACCATGCCTGGCTGGGACTGGATTGTTGGGAGGAGGAGGAGGAGGAGGAGGAGGAGGAGGAGGAGGAGGAGGAGGAGGAGGAGGAGGTATTGTACAGAAGCTCTCTCCCACCCCTGGCAGAACTGCCAGGTGGAAACAGAAGTCTTCTGTCCAAAGAATTGTGTGGGTAATGATTAGAGTGATGAGTCCAGCATCAGCGGGCTGAGAAATCACTCTGCCCACTCTGAATCAGACCTAAACATTTGGCAAGCATTTCACAAAATAACTGTGCCCTGGATTACAGGACCAATTTTTGGACAGAAATTTTTTTGCACAAAGATTTATGGTGTCTACATAGAAATTAGGAGCAATATTTGTTTCACGGGAAGAATTGGGAGCATACAATGAGCTAATTCCTTCATTGCTCGTTAGGCTGACCCACCTTGGAGGCCAGGGCTTCCACACTCTGTCTGCATGTCCTCTCTATGTCCAGGTTCTCCTGAATGCTGTTGACCTCTTCAATGACCATGTGGGACACTGTAGGAGAGTGAGAGAAACAACACTGTTGAACACCTCCAATCCGGCGTAAACATTGTGTAGTGCGTTTTTTTCTTTATCTGTGGTTGATAGAATTGGGGCCTAAGTAATTTATCTATTTTGATCAATAGCAGAGTTACACTACAGAGGTAGACCTACACTAGATTTCTTGTTGGCATACTGTAGGCAACATTTTTGCCATGTGGTCTGATCCTAAGGTTCACCTTATAGAGACCCACAGTGGAGGTGTCATAATACCCATAAAACCTAGCGATCAAACAGGGAAATGGTTCCAATCGTTTTCCCACCATAAATGTTTCCCATAGGGGATTTTAAAAACACTTAACATAAGGGCTGTGTTTAGTGTAGGCTTACCCTGGCGTGACATTTTGATAACCACGTAAATCTCTCTCGGACAAGGTGACTTTTACCAATATATTTCGTTCTATTTACTCTCAGATTCGAAAATGCTAATTAGCATCAAAGTAGACATCATGTAAAACTACAAATCCCTGCAAGCTCCTGCACGTCATTTCTAGCTGACACCTTTGTTTAAACTTACACATGACAGTTTACAGAATTGTCCATTTAAAGAAATGTTGCCAATTTATTCATTTCTACATTTAGCTAACATTAGTTAATCCAGAGATTCTTACCTTTGCCTCGATTCGGCAGTCTCGTCCAGATCATCATGGCATTTGTAGTTCTTTATGATAGCCACATTAGCAGCTAATTAGCATTTCATTTTTGGGTGGGTAAATACAGGTGAATATATTGATAAAAGTCACCTTGTCCTAGAGAGATTTACACAGTTATCAAAACGTCACGCCAGGGTAAGCGTACACGAAACACAGACCTTATTTTAAGGGTTTCTAAGATCCCCTATGGGAAAAATGTATGGTGGAAAAACTATTGGAACCATTTCCCTGTTTGACAGCTAGGTTTTATGGGTATTATTTTACATTTACATTTTAGTCATTTAGCAGACGCTCTTATCCAGAGCGACTTACAGGAGCAATTAGGGTTAAGTTGCCTTATGACTCATACTGTGGAACTCTATTGGAGCTCATATCTTTATGTTTCAATCTTGAATATCATAAATATATATTTTTTTACATGTCTTTGGTTGGAAATATTCAGTTGCATTTACAACTAGCTTTCCATCCCAACGTTAGAGGTAACGTAAACCCTGAAGGATGAGACGACTAGGGCATTGTGCACTTCTTATGCGCTCTTTACAAAACAAGCCAAACAAGATAAACATTAGCATTTCTGTTGACTCACTTACTGTGGAATCTGATACTTTTGCTACATTTACTAAGAAATGTACTCATGTCAACACAAGGTCACAACACTTGACAATATAAGTACGTATGTTTGTGTTTTCTTTTGTGTCAGAGATTTGCCATGAACCACGTATATTCTCTTGTCAATTTAAAAGTAAGTTGACTAATATTACTAATGAACTGAGGTCTTATTTATTCTGCTTTTTGGAAAAATCCCATCAGTGGAACTATGAAAACACATTTGAGACTATGTAAAACCACTATAGGAAGGTCAAAGAAAACAATCTCCCTGCAACAATGGGTACATTTTATTACAATTTAATTAATGTCATTGTGTGTTCATGGTCAGATATAGCAAAAGATTATAGAACCATAATGGATCATATCACCAGAGTGGTTAGTTAGTTAGTAGTTGTTGATGGAAATTGTTGATGGAAACTCAAAGGGCATGAGGTTGGATAAAATATTAAAGTTATTTAGGAACCATTCTCTAGCCCCTAATGTAAGACTTTTTAAACTGTGAAGTATAAAAGCTCCCTTTAGCCAGTAAATAAAAGAAAAAAGAAAAGAAAACATTCAGACACACTTAATGCTCTAAACGTTGACATCATTTGCAGGCCTAATCACAAACCCCAATGAAAGAGAACAGGCTTACTGCCACTTAACTAATTAAACATTGTGGTGGAAGGGGAAAAATAGGAATTAATGCCGTTAGCACAGACCTATCCCTTCCCAATGACACCTAATTGAAACTTGATGAACGTCTGTGCCTGCGATATCAAAGTTCCTCCTGCACCCTCTCCACATCAGTCATTCAATAGCACTTAGCTGACAGTTTCATCCCAGCATCTCTGTTGCTCTGCTCTTTCACAGACTCCATAATGCCCAACACACTCAACACCAGCAAAGGACGCCTTTAAATAAATTACACGTTAATTGTAATTACTGATAGGCACGGTAAATAAACAGGCCTGGAAGTGGAAGTGGAAAGTGTACAAGTGCAGGGCGACAGGGGTTCTGACACGTCAGAATCGGCAGTCTTAATAGTACGTTTCGGCCTCACCATCATCGCGCCATCTTTTTTCTCCCATCTTTTTCCCTCCTGTCAGGGAAGACAGTGATTACCCCTGTGCCGACGTACGGCATAATGGTATCAGCGCGCAGACAGAGAAGTGAATTAAATTGTATCTGCAGCCGTACTGAAGCCTTGATGAGGGGGCAGATGCCTTTGTGGTCTTATCATTATAACACAATGGTCATGTTGTCATCAACCTTGCCATCGTCAATTGAAAAGACGTGATTGTGTGTTGGGGGCTTTTTTTCTCTCCCTCTTCGCCCCGTCGTTTCGTTGTGAATAGAAGCAATTTTCTCAAAGCTATGAAATCACGTAATAGGTCCTAATATGCAGCTGTTTGGCATAGCAAGGCAGCCTCTATTAAATTGGAAGTCAAACAAAATATGTGTTTTTTGGCTGGAGAAATACTACATGTATGAGCAGAGGCCACATTTATTCAGATAAAAATCCCTCGACTGCCGTGATTACATAGAACAACTATTTCAATCATCTCTGACATTTTTATACTTTCAAAAATTCCAGAGATCAAATTACTGTCTTGAGTGGTTTGTGTGATGCATTTTGGTTTTAAGAAAAAATATCCCTGCAAAAAAACACAGAAATGCATTGTATTTCAAGCACATTTGTATGTGCGGAAGGAAACAGTAAAAATGGAGAAGCATCAGAGAAGATGCTTTAAGTGTCATTTTGCATTCTGAAGACTAGTATTTACAAAAGAAAATCATATGACTATGTTTCTCTGATATAACTGAAGGTTAATCAATTTGAAGGGGCAGCATAAGAGTAAACAAAGCTGTGTTACCGCCTAAAGGGTGTGCCTTTTACCCAAGGTAAATGTCAAACACACACAGTTCATAGTGAGTCCAGGGTTCAAAGGTCACAGCAGCAGAGATAGTGTGGTTGATAGTTGGCATGAAAAGAATGCTATGGTAAACATTACATAACAGAACTGTAGGTGTTTACAGTCCCTCCTATACAATCCCTGACTAGTTTCCAATATGATGCATATGTTACCAGGGGGGGAAACAATATCAATCTGATATGCAAGAATATCAGATCAATATTAGATCAAACATTTTTGACGAAAGATGGATTTGACTAAACATTTTCTTTATGTTCTCACCTTTTTGAAACTCTTCAAGCCTTTTGACTGCCTCGTCTCTCTCTGCCTGCATCCGTTGACACTGATATGACCCAATCACAAAAGAGAACAAAACACTTTGACAATATCTATTTTTCATTTACATTAGTGTCCTACCTTCATTGAGCCAGTCTATGAAAGATCATACTCTACTTGAACTCAATCTGAGAATGACATTTTCAGTGGGAGAACAGCTGAGGTCATGAAGATGATGGACTCTGTAAAAAGGCTTCCCAATATGAACTTTATGTGAACCTTAACAAGTTCTATATAAACCACCACCACATACCTTAAAGTGAAATGATGAAAGCACAAAATTCAGACTACATTGATATCCCCGAGGCACAATGCATAGAGTACATATTATATGAGATTGAAAGTTTATCACAACAGTATTTAAATCTGATGTGATCATACAATTAATGTTCTCTTTTCTCTCTTGAAAGCATAATAATAAAGCATCTCTCTCGATCTCTTTCTCTCTCACTCTCTCTCTCTCTCTCTCTCTCTCTCTCACACACACACACACACAGTCTCTCTTTCACACATACAATAATTTAAAAAATAAACAAACCTTTATTTTCTTTAATCGATAATCACTATCATTCATTAATTGCAAACACAGTTAAAATTATGCACATCTCCCCAAGACCTCTAGCATGGATACCTATACACATGAACTGAACAGTTATAACAAGCCTTATACAACACTGACCTCCATGGTGTCTCTCTCATGCTGCCTCTGAAGACCCTCATACTCATGGACAGCTGTAGGGACCAAAGGATTGCAGTCACTCATCTTCAACTGTTCATCATCCCATAAGAGGAAACATATTTGAACTCTTATTGGGTTTCTTAAAACAGAACAACCATGTGGAAACATATTTATTCATTCCAACCCAATGACTGGATTCATATCCTAAGTGAAACATGACTATTCCTCACACCAACCTTAAAAATAGTCTCAATGCTCTGCTACATATACTTGAGTTAGTTTAGATTAAAACCACAGAAAATAATGTTTATCAATACAGAAAGACATGGAATAAAGGTTGTTCCAAACCCAGCTGTTTGCTAAGATCATCAGTGTGTCATGAGGGTGCTTTTTTACAAAGTCTGGGCAGACCCATGTATGGTTCGCTCCATAAAGCTGCATCTATGAATGCCTGGATCTTTACAAAGAACTGGATACTGGAATGTATAGCCACTGTGAAAGTAGATCTAAAACATCAACAAAACATGCATTATTTTGATGATCATTTGATGTTGAAGCTCTACCTTCATGTAGCCTATACCTTGGTCCATTATGTTTCACAGTCAGGAAGCATAACAATAATATATTTCTACACAGTGGTATGATAAAAGTCTACTACTGTACCTTTACTACTAAATGCAGTAGTAAAGGCAGTGCAAATTTGGCCCGCAGGTGGTGTTATGTGGCCCCCAAAGTTTTCTGAGCAAATTAATTAATTAATATTGTTGAATTTTCATTGTTGGATATAAAAAACGGTAAAAACACCAGCAAATCAGCTTCAAGTGATTTTAATTTGGGAAATCTGTTCCCAAGTATTTCCACGAATAATAGAGAGACACGTGATCATAAACAAATGGAAGCAAGATTGATGTTTTATTCCAATATTATATGTTTGGGCTTCTTGCAGTCTACAAATTATTTGTATTTATGTTCCGGCCCCCCGACCATCCGCTCAAGAAAAAATTGGCCCACGGCTGAATATAGTTGATTATCCCTGCCCTAACCTATGAATATCACATGACTGGGAATATAGATATGCATCTCTTGGTCACAGATAAAAAAAAGTTAGGGCCGTGGATCAGAAAACCAGTCAGTACCCAATGTGACCACCATTTGCCTCATGCAGCGCGACACATCTCCTTCGTATAAAGATGATCAGGCTGTTTGTTGATTGTGGCCTGTGGAATGTGGTCCCACTCCTCTTTAATGGCTGTGCGAAGTTGCTGGATATTGGCGGGAACTGGAACACGCTATCGTCACGGTATCTCTGTGCATTCAAATTGCCATCGATAAAATGCTATTGTGTTCGTTGTCTGTAGTTTATGCCTACCCATACCATAACCCCACCACCACCATGAGGCACTCTGTTCACAACGTTGACATCAGCCAACCGCTCGCCCACACGACACCATACACGCTGTCTGCCATCTGCCCGGTACAGTTGAAACCGGGATTAATCCGTGAAGAGCACACTTCTCCAGTGTGCCAGTGGCCATCGAAGGTGAGCATTTGCCCACTGAAGTCGGTTACGACGCCGAACTGCAGTCAGGTCAAGACCCTGGTGAGGATAATGAGCATGCAGATTAGCTTCCCTGAGACGGTTTCTTACAGTTTGTGCAGAAATTATTTGGTTGTGCAAACCCACAGTTTCATCAGCTGTCCGGGTGGCTGGTCTCAGACGATCCAGCAGGTGAAGAAGCCAGATGTGGAGGTCTTGGGCTGGCGTGATTACACGTGGTCTGCGGTTGTTAGGCCGGTTGGTCGTACTGCCAAATTCTCTAAAATTACGTTGGAGGCGGCTTATGGTTGAGCAATTCACATTAAATTCTCTGGCAACAGCTCTGGTGAACATTCAGTCAGCATGCCAATTGCACGCTCCTTTAAAACTTGAGACATCTGTGGCATTGTGTTGTGTGGCAAAACTGCACATTTTAGAGTGGCCTTTTAATGTCCCCAGCACAAGGTGCACCTGTGTAATGATCATGCTGTTTAATAAGCCTCTGTTTTATGCCACACCTGTCAGGTGGATGGAATATCTTGGCAAAGGAGAAATGTTCACTAACAGGGATGTAAACAAATTTGTGCACCAAATTTGAGAGAAATAAGCTTTTTGTGTGTATGGAAAATTTCTGGAATCTTTTATTTCAGCTCATGAAACATGGGACCAACACCTTACATGTTGCATTTTATATTTATGTTCAGTGTATATGTAACATAATCAGCATTGGTTGCTTAGTAGACACCCTACTGTGAGGCACTGTGCATTCATATTTAAATCTGAAAACCAGGTCAAGTACTTATTCCTGTAGGGTCCAACATTCAGGTCACGTGCTTACTCAACACTGCTGCTCTTACACCACATCATGCTGGCTAGCCGCACCCTACCCCCAACGTCTCCCCACTCTGAATGCAGTGATTCATTTTTGCTGGAGTTGCACACTCAATGTGTATTCATATGGTGTTCCAAATAATATTCTGGTGATTCAGAGGGCACCTCAGACTACACAGACCTCGTATGGAACTTTTGTTATTCCCCCTTACAACGTGTCGGAAAACGTTTATTGAATAAAGAAATATGAGGAACTGAAAGACAGTTTAAATCAAGGGAGATGACCATCCGTTGTGAATTCATGTATGTTTTGTGGTGAGAGAAATAAGCCTAGAACTTCTGAGGAAGTTCTGAGGCGTCATTGTCATTCTGGGTGGGTGTTTCTTTAGCCATTTATATTATATATATAAATACCTTTAACAATCAGAGTTATTTGTATCTGAACTCAGAATGTTAAAGGGATAGTTCGGGATTTTGGCAAATTACTATGCGTCCAGTATGAAGGAAATTGTATAGGTAGCTTCACGAGCCAACGCTAGACTTCCAGTCATTGAGCTAACGCTCGTTAGCCAGCAACTTTCTTCAAAATGAACGCATAGACAAACATAAAAATGGCATCCACGAGTTCATCTTCCTCTGGAGATGTAGATAAAGGGCCTCTTCGCAAAAATCCCTAACTATTCCTTTAAAACGTCTACTCTTTTTATTCAATAGATATGGCAAGGGCTCTCTTCAGCAAGGGCATATGAAAAACGTGTACAAAATAAACAAAAAGCCATTGAAAACATTGATAAGACCCCTCAGATAAAGTCCTAGGCTACATTATTCCTTACACAATTTGCCCTTGCCCTGAACGCAACAGCGCTCTAACTAATGAGAGTACTAAACTGCACAGATACAAATGAAGACAGAAAAAGTCCTATACATTTCATTCAAATTAGGTTACATTCAATAGGCTACGTATCCATGTTGAATGTCAACGGTTAACGGGCAGGCTATGAAAGAGCTGGAGTCATTGAACTGCAAATACATAACGAATATTTCGAACAGAAACACTAACCTAGCCATGCGACTAAGAATAACTCTTACCTTGATTGGACAGCTCTGTAATGAGTTTCATTTTATATAGTTCATCTGGGGCCGCCATTGTGAGAAATTATATAATTTACAGTACACATCGAGGTGGTTACACATTACGTGCAACAGGAAATGATAATTTGACACACCTGTGCACACATCTCACCTTTGGCCATTGTCAAGTCTGATCTAGGCTTCGAATGCGTGTTTTTTCCCCTGATCAACTGTTTGTTGACTTGGACCTACAGTGCATTCGGAAAGTATGCACGGAAAGTATACTTTTTCCACATTTTGTTACGTTACAGCCTTATTCTAAAATGGATTACATCGTTTTCCCCCTCATCAATCTACACACAATACCACATAATGCCGAAGCAAAAACAGGTTTTTAGAGATTTTTGCAAATGTATAAAAAAAAGAAACTTAAATATTACATTTACATAAGTATTCAGACCCTTTACTCAGATCTTTGTTGAAGCACCTTTGGCAGCGACTACAGCCTCGAGTCTTCTTGGCTATGATGCTACAAGCTTGGCACACCTGTATTCTTGGAGTTTCTCCCATTATTATCTGCAGATACTCTGAAGCTCTGTCAGGTTGGATGGGTAGAGTCGCTGCACAGCACAGCTATTTTCAGGTCTCTCCAGAGATGTTAGATCGGGTTCAAATCCGGGCTCTGTCTGGGACACTCAAGGACATTCAGAGACTTGTCCCGAAGCCACTACTGCGTTGTCTTGGCTGTGTGCTTAGGGTCGTTGTCCTGTTGGAAGGTGAACCTTCGCCCCAGTCTGAGGTCCTGGGCGCTCCGGAGCAGGTTTTTATCATGGATCTCTCTGTACTTTGCTCCGTTCATCTTTCCCTCAATCCTGAATAGTCTCCTAGTGCCTGCCGCTGAAAAACATCCCCACAGCATGATGCTGCCACCACCATGCTTCACCTTAGGGATGGTGCCAGGTTTCCTCCAGATGTGACACTTGGCATTCATGCCAAAGACTTCCATCTTGGTTTCATCAGACCAGAGAATCTTGTTTCTCATGGTCTGAGAGTCATTTATGATGGAGGCCACTGTATTATTGGGGACCTTTAATGCTTGCAGACATTTTTTGGTACCCTTCCCCAGATCTGTGCCTCGACACAATCCTGTCTCGGAGCACTACGGACAATTCCTTCGACCTCATTGCTTGATTTTTGCTCTGACATGCACTGTCAACTGTGGGACCTTATATAGACAGGTGCGTGCCTTTCCAAATCATGCCCAATCAATTTAATTTACCACAGGTGGACTCCAATCAAGTTGTAAAAACATTTCAAGGATGATCAACGGAAACAGGATGCACCTGAGCTCATTTGAGACTCATAGGAAAGGGTCTGAATACTTACGTAAATGTGATATCAGTTTTTTATTTTTAATACATTTGCAGAAATTTCTAAAATACCTGTTTTCACTTTGTAATTGTGGGGTATTGTGTGTAGATTGATGAGGGGAAAAAATAACTTCATCCATTTTAGAATAAGGCTGTAATTTAACAAAATGTGGAAAAAGTCAAGGGGTCTGAACACTTTCCAAATGCATTGTATATATGGTTTATGACGGCCAATTCATATTCAAAATAATGTTGGCTAAGTGTGTGAAAAACGACCAACCTCAACATTAGTTGTGTGCATTGTCTGGTGGGATTACAAACATGTCACCCCTCATAATTCTAATATAATTTATTTATGGGCAGGAAAACACAGGAATCAATATAACAAACACACAGATCCGATTTCTGCAAACAAAGAGAATTAGCAATGCAACATGGGAATGGTTAGTATTATTTTTCTTTTAACAGCACATACATACAGCAAACAATGTAAACATTTTCTTTCGATAGTAATTACACCAAGCAACAGAGGCCAAAAAGAAATAAGCAATCACAGTTCACACAAAGGTCTAGATCTACAATAGACAATTTCAAATGGCCCAAAAGTTTGTCAAATATCAAAACTCTTACCCCAAGCCTATAAAAGTAAACATTTAAGTACCAATGATGTTCAGTCTACTAAATTAAAGTACGTCATGACACTTTCCTGACCTCCTGGGTGTTTGGTGAAGTCCTACAATTTCAGATATGGTTAACAAGTAATTTCCCCTCATCTGAAATAAGTGATTGAAGTGCTATCTTCAGGGTGACTAACAAACATATTGGACAAATTCAAACCATTGAAAATGTAAAAGAGAACATACCAATTCCCGTCGAGCTCTAATGTATAGGATGTTTTTATATTTTTGGAAGGTTTAATTTAGGTGGGGACAACATTCCATGAACAAAACCTAGCAGTAACATAACCCAATAAATAACAGGATCATTCTTTGATTTAAGTTCACATCTCTGAACAAAATCTAGAGATACAATCACAGACACTATCCATACGCATTTCTGGACACAGATACAGTAGAATACATCTACAGAGGGAGCTGAGATCATTGCTCTGTTCTCTGAGTGGTTGGGGGGGGTCAACACTGGTCTAAGGGAGTGAGAGGGTTGCGGGGGTGGAGTCAGAGCATCCGAAAGGTGCTCAGTGACGAGCGGCAGACTCCCTGGGGTAGAACTCGGCCAGGGTGCTCTGGGGAATCCTCTTCAGCATCTCTTTGGGGAAGATTCGTAGCAGCTGCCAGCCAATGTCCAGGGTCTCATAGACGGTCCTGTTGTCATAGGGGCCTGAGGGGTGAGGTGACAGCGTTTTAGGTCTCAAATGCTATGACATTTCACAATATTCCTTATGACGACTAGTTGTCAATTGACTCATTCAGTGGTTTTAATAGGAGTATGAATACAACAATATTCCCCAGTGATTCAGATCTTTTTCATAACACTTGTTTTAGTCAACGTCAGGTCATGGAGCTAACATGTCTGAAATGCACCCCACCCTAACTCACAGCTTACTCTGTCGGAAAGATATCATTGATAGACTAGATATTAAGTCAATCATATGGTGTCACAACAGGTTTAAATGCAGTAGATCCCCATGATGCATAGCCTACAATAGTGCAATCCCTAGTTTTCAATCTAATCAAATCACATTTAATTGGTCGCATACACATATTTAGCAGATGTTATTGCGGGTGTAGCGAAATGCTTGTAAATCATCTGAAGGACAAGACGACTGAACGGCAGGCTCTTGTTCTTTGCCCAAAAGATGGCTCCATTTGTCTATGTTTCAACAGAGAAGGGATGCAAAAGTCTGACATGATACTTGCATTTCATGGTATTTTAATTTAATTCAATTCAGTAGACTCATCAATTCTAATGAGACACATTTTTTCATCTCCATTTTAATATCACACTTGAATGATAACGCTATGCAGGCTGGATTTCTGGTAATAAGGACCTAGGGCAACACAAAATGGGTCAACGATTTCAAGGAATTACTAGAATAAAGGTAGCATAAACATTGGATACAGGAAAAGCCAAGGTGGCAAAGGTATAATATCTTATATTTAATGTAACAGTATTTAGACAAGTAAATAAACTCACCAGACAAGATCTCAGAGCAGGAGAGGGTCAATGACCTGGCCGAGTGCAGCCTAATGCCTCCCACTTAACGGTGTGAAAAGACTGCCAACACTCCCATTTATTCTGTTACCAAATACTTGACCCGGGGGAATGTCACATACAGTGCGGTTGCCGTGCCCCTGTTTTCACCTTTTGATTTTATACAACTAGAATTTCAGGTCGTTATTGTAAAAGAGGGTGTGTTCTCAATGACTTACCTGGTTCAATAAAGGTTAAAATATTAAAATAATTTCAATAGCCATGCGCTCTGGTTGTGGTGCTACTGTCATAGGTGGAGTCTCATCTGTTTTCCAGTGTCTTACCCTGAGCGATGAAGTTCTTCTCAAACTTCTGCAGGAACTCCAGGTAGAGCAGATCATCGGAGGTGAGGGCCTCCTCTCCGACTACGGCCTTCATGGCCTGCACGTCCTTACCAATGGCATAGCAGGCATACTGAGAGGGACAGAGAGCTGAAGTTGTTCTATGCAACAAATGATTCATGTTATAGAGAATCTTTTGGCAGTGTGCAGAGTGACAATAACTACCAGCTGGTTGGAGACATCAGCATGGTCTTTACGGGTCATTCCTTCACCGATAGCGGACTTCATCAACCGAGACAGAGAGGGCAGCACATTGATGGGTGGGTAGATCTGAAGGGAAAACATGAAGTAATAGAAGTCAAGTCAATATTCAACAAAGAAGTAGTAAACAAATTATCATTGGACAATTGTCAGGAGAGAGAATGACAGTACTCAATAGCTAGATACACTACTCAATAGCAAGGTCACAAGGGGTTGGTTGGAGACGTATAAGCGAGAATGGGAATACCTGTCTGTTGTGCAGCTGTCTGTCCACATAGACCTGTCCCTCAGTGATGTACCCAGTGAGATCAGGAATGGGATGGGTGATATCTGGAAAACACAGTTTACATGGAGGTCAACGTCAAGAGATAATATCCAGGGTTCAAGTCACGCTAAATCAAGTGGCCTATATCAAACCGATACAGGCCCATATTCAAACACATGCACTGAGCACGGTCCTAGATCACTTCGCCCAAAATAAATACATTGAACCAGGCATACACTTTAAATGTCTACAACTTACAGTAGAATGCCTAGATACTGAAAGGCAGATCCAATGTATAGTTTTTAAAGCGTTTCCCATTTTAAGGACATTACAATAAGTGTTTTGACCTACATCCGCAACTTGCGAGGATAGTGCTCTAAAATATGATGGCACAAATGTTCCTCTGATGTTAAAAAGAGGGGACTACCATTCAAAAACAGATTGGAGGCCCATCAAAGATGTTGCTATCGTAACGGAAAGCATACAAAAATATCAGCCGAAACAGGAGATTCAACGGAATTGCTCATGTAAAAAAAGTTAATAAATAAAACTTTAATAAATACATTATTTTTTAAATAGATCTAGGTTGTTTTTCCTCTGAGAAAAGCCGGCATGTCATACCATCGTTGGGCATGGTGAGAATGGGTATCTGAGTGATGGAGCCGTTCCTGCCCTCCACTCTGCCGGCACGCTCGTAGATGGTGGCCAGATCAGTGTACATGTAACCAGGAAAACCACGACGGCCAGGGACCTCCTCTCTGGCAGCTGACACCTGGGGAGACATGAGACAAACAAGTGAGCCATAAGTGGAATCAGGGTATAACAGATGGGACCCTGAACACAAACTCCACTTCTGAACACTTAATTGTAACAGCGTATGACTGAATCAATGAGCATGAACTCATTGATTCATTCATAGCAGGGTTTCTGAAACCTCGGTCCTCAGGACCCCAAGGGGTGCACATTTTGGTATTTGCCCTAGCACTACACAGCTGATTCAAAAATAGTCAACTAATGATCAAGCTTTGATCATTTGAGTCAGCTGTGTAGTGTTAGGGAAAAAACCAAAACGTGCACCCCTTGGGGTCGCAAGGCGACACACACACAGTGCATTCGGAAAGTATTCAGAACCCTTTACTTTTTCCACATTTTGTTACGTTACAGCCTCATTCTAAAATTGATTAAATTGTTTTTTTCCCCCCTCAATCTGGCTGGGCCACTTAAAGACATTCAGAGACTTGTCCCAAAGCCACTCCTGCGTTGTCTTGGCTGTGTGCTTAGGGTCGTTGTCTCGTTGGAAGGTGAACCTTCGCCCCAGTCTGAGGTCCTAAGCCCTCTGGAGCAGGTTTTCATTAAGGATCTCTGTACTTTGCTCCGTTCCTGATTAGTCTCCCAGTCGCTGAAAAACATCCCCACAGCATGATGCTGCCACCACCATGCTTCACCGTAGGGATGGTGCCAGTTTCCTCCAGACATGACGATTGGCATTCAGGCCAAAGACTTCAATCTTGGTTTCATCAGACCAGAGAATCTTGTTTGTCATGGTCTGAGAGTCCTTTAGGTGCCTTTTGGCAAACTCCAAGCGGACTGTCATGTGCCTTTTACTTCCGTCTGGCCACTCTACCATAAAGGCCTGATTGGTGGAGTGCTGCAGAGATGGTTGTCCTTCTGGAAGTTTCTCCCATCTCTACAGAGGAACTCTGGAGCTCTGTCAGTGACCATCGGGTTCATGGTCACCTCCCTGACCAAGGACCTTCTCCCCCGATTGCTCAGTTTGGCCGGGTGGCCAGCTCTAGGAAGAGTCTTGGTGCTTCCAAACTTCTTCCATTTAAGAATGATGGAGGCCACTGTGTTCTTGGGGACCTTCAATGCTACAGAAATGTTTTGCTACCCTTCCCCAGATCTGTGCCTCGACCCAATCCTGTCACGGAGCTCTATGGACAATTCCTTCGACCTCATGGCTTGGTTTTTGCTCTGGGAGAACTTGCACAATTGGTGGCTGACTAAATACTTTTTCCCCCCACTGTATGTATGTATGTATGTATGTATGTATGTATGTATGTATGTATGTATGTATGTATGTATGTATGTATGTATGTATGTATGTATGTATGTATGTATGTATGTATGTACAGTGAGGGAAAAAAGTATTTGATCCCTTGCTGATTTTGTACGTTCGCTTTGTCATTATGGGGTATTGTGTGTAGATTGCTGAGAACATTTTTTAAAATTAATTCCATTGTAGAATAAGGCTGTAACACAACAAAATGTGGAAAAAGTCATGGGGTCAGAATACTTACCGAAGGCACTGTACACACACATACATATACAGTACCAGTCAAAAATTGCCAAGAGTGTGCAAAGCTGTCATCAAGGCAAAGGGTGGCTACTTTGAAGAATCTCTAATATAACATATATTTTGATTTGTTTAACACTTTTTTGGTTACTACATGATTCCATGTCTTATTTCATAGTTTTGATGTCTTCACTATTATTCTACAATGTAGAAAATAATAAAAATAAAGAAAAACCCTTGAATAAGTAGGTGTCCAAACTTTTGACTGGTACTGTATGTATGTATGTATGTATGTATGTATGTATGTATGTATGTATGTATGTATGTATGTATGTATGTATGTATGTATGTATGTATGTATGTACGTACGTACGTACAGTGGGGGAAAAAAAGTATTTAGTCAGCCACCAATTGTGCAAGTTCTCCCACTTAAAAAGATGAGAGAGGCCTGTCATTTTCATCATAGGTACATGTCAACTATGACAGACAAAATGAGAAAAAAAAGTTCCAGAAAATCACATTGTAGGATTTTTAATGAATTTATTTGCAAATTATGGTGGAAAATAAGTATTTGGTCAATAACAAAAGTTTCTCAATACTTTGTTATATACCCTTTGTTGGCAATGACACAGGTCAAATGTTTTCTGTAAGTCTTCACAAGGTTTTCACACACTGTATTTTGGTCCATTCCTCCATGCAGATCTCCTCTAGAGCAGTGATGTTTTGGGGCTGTCGCTGGGCAACACGGACTTTCAACTCCCTCCAAAGATTTTCTATGGGGTTGAGATCTGGAGAATGGCTAGGCCACTCCAGGACCTTGAAATGCTTCTTACGAAGCCACTCCTTCGTTGCCCGGGCGGTGTGTTTGGGATCATTGTCATGCTGAAAGACCCAGCCACGTTTCATCTTCAATGCCCTTGCTGATGGAAGGAGGTTTTCACTCAAAATCTCACGATACATGGCCCCATTCATTCTTTCCTTTACACGGATCAGTCGTCCTGGTCCCTTTGCAGAACAAAAGCCCCAAAGCATGATGTTTCCACCCCCATGCTTCACAGTAGGTATGGTGTTCTTTGGATGCAACTCAGCATTCTTTGTCCTCCAAACACAACGAGTTGAGTTTTTACCAAAAAGTTCTATTTTGGTTTCATCTGACCATATGACATTCTCCCAATCCTCTTCTGGATCATTCAAATGCACTCTAGCAAACTTCAGACGGGCCTGGACATGTACTGGCTTATGCAGGGGGACACGTCTGGCACTGCAGGATTTGAGTCCCTGGCGGCGTAGTGTGTTACTGATGGTAGGCTTTGTTACTTTGGTCCCAGCTCTCTGCAGGTCATTCACTAGGTCCCCCCGTGTGGTTCTGGGATTTTTGCTCACCGTTCTTGTGATCATTTTGACCCCACGGGGTGAGATCTTGCGTGGAGCCCCAGATCGAGGGAGATTATCAGTGGTCTTGTATGTCTTCCATTTCCTAATAATTGCTCCCACAGTTGATTTCTTCAAACCAAGCTGCTTACCTATTGCAGATTCAGTCTTCCCAGCCTGGTGCAGGTCTACAATTTTGTTTCTGGTGTCCTTTGACAGCTCTTTGGTCTTGGCCATAGTGGAGTTTGGAGTGTGACTGTTTGAGGTTGTGGACAGGTGTCTTTTATACTGATAACAAGTTCAAACAGGTGCCATTAATACAGGTAACGAGTGGAGGACAGAAGAGCCTCTTAAAGAAGAAGTTACAGGTCTGTGAGAGCCAGAAATTTTGCTTGTTTGTAGGTGACCAAATACTTATTTTCCACCATAATTTGCAAATAAATTCATAAAAAATCCTACAATGTGATTTTCTGGATTTTTTTCCTCAATTTGTCTGTCATAGTTGACGTGTACCTATGATGAAAATTACAGGCCTCTCTCATCTTTTTAAGTGGGAGAACTTGCACAATTGGTGGCTGACTAAATACTTTTTCCCCCCACTGTATGTATGTATGTATGTATGTATGTATGTATGTATGTATGTATGTACAGTGAGGGAAAAAAGTATTTGATCCCTTGCTGATTTTGTACGTTTGCCCACTGAAAAGACATGATCAGTCTATAATTTTAATGGTAGGTTTATTTGAACAGTGAGAGACAGAATAACAACTAAAAAATCCAGAAAAACGCATGTCAAAAATGTTATAAATTGATTTGCATTTTAAATGAGGGAAATAAGTATTTTACCCCCTCAATCTGAAAGATTTCTGGCTCCCAGGTGTCTTTTATACAGGTAACGAGCTGAGATTAGGAGCACACTCTTAAAGGGAGTGCTCCTAATCTCAGCTTGTTACCTGTATAAAAGACACCTGTCCACAGAAGCAATCAATCAGATTCCAAACTCTCCGCCAAGACCAAAGAGCTCTCTAAGGTTGTCAGGGACAAGATTGTAGACCTACACAAGGCTGGAATGGGCTACAAGACCATCGCCAAGCAGCTTGGTGAGAAGGTGACAACAGTTGGTGCGATTATTCGCAAATGGAAGAAACACAAAAGACCTGTCAATCTCCCTCGGCCTGGGGCTCCATGCAAGATCTCACCTCGTGGAGTTGCAATGATCATGAGAACGGTGAGGAATCAGCCCAGAACTACACGGGAGGATCTTGTCAATGATCTCAAGGCAGCTGGGACCATAGTCACCAAGAAAACAATTAGTGACACACTACGCCGTGAAGGACTGAAATCCTGCAGCGCCCGCAAGGTCCCCCTGCTCAAGAAAGCACATATACAGGGCCATCTGAAGTTTGCCGATGAACATCTGAATGATACAGAGGAGAACTGGGTGAAAGTGTTGTGGTCAGATGAGACCAAAATCGAGCTCTTTGCCATCAACTCAACTCGCCGTGTTTGGAGGAGGAGGAATGCTGCCTATGACCCCAAGAACACCATCCCCACCGTCAAACATGGAGGTGGAAACATTATGCTTTGGGGGTGTTTTTCTGCTAAGGGGACAGGACAACTTCACCGCATCAAAGGGACGATGGACGGGGCCATGTACCGTCAAATCTTGGGTGAGAACCTCCTTCCCTCAGCAAGGGCATTGAAAATGGGCAGTGGATGGGTATTCCAGCATGACAATGACCCAAAACACACGGCCAAGGCAACAAAGGAGTGGCTCAAGAAGAAGCACATTAAGATCCTGGAGTGGCCTAGCCAGTCTCCAGACCTTAATCCCATAGAAAATCTGTGGAGGGAGCTGAAGGTTCGAGTTGCTAAACGTCAGGCTCGAAACCTTAATGTCTTGGAGAAGATCTGCAAAGAGGAGTGGGACAAAACCGTCCTGAGATGTGTGCAAACCTGGTGGCCAACTACAAAAAAATGTCTGACCTCTGTGATTGCCAACAAGGGTTTTGCCACCAAGTACTAAGTCATGTTTTGCAGAGGGGTCAAATACTTATTTCCCTCATTAAAATGGAAATCAATTCATAACATTTTTGACATGTGTTTTTCTGGAATTTGTTGTTGTTATTCTGTCTCTCACTGTTCAAATAAACATACCATTAAAATTATAGACTGATAATTTCTTTGTCAGTGGGCAAACGTACAAAATCAGCAGGGGATCAAATACTTTTTTCCCTCACTGTATGAATGAATGAATGAATGAATGAATACACACAAATAAAACCACTATAGGAGGACAAAATAATAGGAATTGGAGTTGACTAATAATACTGTACTATATTCTCATTTAATCACCTGTTGTGAAGTGTTATTTATTTTTGTTATTTTTTGTGTGAAGTGTTATTCAAATCAACAAAAGAGAGGTCAAGCGCTGCCATTTTCTCAGCAGACCTGGTATAAAATAAATGACTCGGAACCCAGGCCAAAGCCAATCACTGTTCAAATTGTTCAGTTAGTTGAATTCAGAGCAGAAATACACTTGTATTCATCCTGAGCTCCAGAGGATGGAGATGAACTGCGGATTAAATTCGAAACTCGACCTTCGAGCGGGTGAATGGAAAAATAAGTTAAACGTTAATGCCCCTGTCGCTCTTTGTAAGTGGTTAAATACCCTACAAGCCTGAGTCTTAGCCAACGCTTTATTGAAACAGCACGTGCCCAAGGTTACAGACAGACAACGAGGGAAGGGAGCTATGTTTTCAGATGAACATAAAAAACATTTCAAACTCTCGTTGTGCGGCTGGAATATTGAAACATGTTCTGCTACATAAAATGAATATTACAGGCATGAAAGAGTTGAGAAGGTCTGACACCACAGAAAGCTTCACACTAAGCTTCTGAGAAATAAGTTAAGGCCTTTCCAGAAGGTCACACTATTCTGCCTTTCACTGAGAACAGAAGTGGACATTAGAGAGTACTTCACTTGGCCAACACCTCATGAGATGTTTAGGAGCCAAAGTTTGGTAGTCCAAACTACTTATTCTTGAAATAGTGTTCCTATTGCTGGGGGATTCTGTGCTAGTTATAACATATGGGCAGGAGTTAAAGCAAAAAAAAGTCCCATGACTGAAACTTAAGTTGATCTCAGATCGATTGTTAACCTCCCTTTTCATGTAAGAAAGTCATGACCATCATGCTTTTACGGAACGAGGATAATTGTGTACTTGTATTAAACAGAGTTTGACAAATTCCAGTCCCCTTGCTTAGGGGGTCCTAAACCATGCTTGAAACTCGTAAAACTACTTTTGTAAAACGATGCGAAGTGCAATTGAAAGAGTAGAGAAATAAACGTGGTAGCAATGTAAAACTGGGATCCCCCTCTTTTTTAACAAAGGCCAAAACTGCTTTCAAAAGTGTTTTTCCACGAATGCATTAAGAATTGTTGTGCATTGACTGCTTGTCAAAATACGTTTCCCTCCTATTTATCTCGCATAGAACACACAAGCCGACTAGGTAAATAGGTAAACTATTCTGGGGTTGTCTGGTTTTGTTTTAAATAACATTACATGGCATTTATTTGAGAATATATTTCGTAGAACAGACATGCTTCTGTCTGTACTCGGCTATGTCATCTCCATAGCCTAATTAATTATATTTTGGGGTTTGACTGGTCTGGGGGTTGATCACTTACATCTCGTGGTCTTGACTCTCAGAGTTGCGGAATTGGGATGACAAGTCAATTTTTTTGTTATAGCTAGCTAGCTGGCTGGCTGTTTGGATTCAAATAATGCAGCCCCAGCTTTTAGTTTCATCTGTTGGGAAGAATTACAACAAGTACGGCATGCTGTGTCCAGAGATGGCAGAGGCTCAGGGACTGTTATTAACCACTGCCAAGATGGTGGCTTTTCGTGCGCTTTTCAGCAGCTGTGGCATCACCCAGGTGGGTGCCTCATGTTCGGCAATGGAGGACCAGTACCTATGGAAGAGCGGGTCCTATGGAGGAACTGGCCATCGGAGAAGCAGAAGTGGTGCACTAATGAAGCTTTCCAGACCTGTTTGTCACACTGTCTTTGTTTCTCTCTGGCTGTACCGTCGATGACCCCTCCACTAAAGCTTTTCCAATCCAAACTGCATCAACTCATCAGAAGCCAAATAGAGACATTAAATCTCCATCTCTACCATCTCAATTTAAATTGTTTTTGTTATGCGCTTTGAGATTATTTTCTGTAATGAAAAGCGCAATACAAGTTAAATCATTATTATTATTATATTTATGTTTAAGATGTACTTGAGTGACATACCAAGAACTGATGCATTTTATCAGAAAAATACCACATGCATGCACGCACAATCAGGAATTGGGGTGTGTGGTTCAAAGGAACACATTCTATCAAAATAGTTCTAGGAAGAATACTCTAGTTGACTGTACAGTGGGGGAAAAAAGTATTTAGTCAGCCACCAATTGTGCAAGTTCTCCCACTTAAAAAGATGAGAGGCCTGTAATTTTCATCATAGGTACACGTCAACTATGACAGACAAAATGAGAATTTTTTTCTCCAGAAAATCACATTGTAGGATTTTTTATGAATTTATTTGCAAATTATGGTGGAAAATAAGTATTTGGTCAATAACAAAAGTTTCTCAATACTTTGTTATATACCCTTTGTTGGCAATGACACAGGTCAAACGTTTTCTGCAAGTCTTCACAAGGTTTTCACACACTGTTGCTGGTATTTTGGCCCATTCCTCCATGCAGATCTCCTCTAGAGCAGTGATGTTTTGGGGCTGTCGCTGGGCAACACAGACTTTCAACTCCCTCCAAAGATTTTCTATGGGGTTGAGATCTGGAGACTGGCTAGGCCACTCCAGGACCTTGAAATGCTTCTTACGAAGCCACTCCTTCGTTGCCCGGGCGGTGTGTTTGGGATCATTGTCATGCTGAAAGACCCAGCCACGTTTCATCTTCAATGCCCTTGCTGATGGAAGGAGGTTTTCACTCAAAATCTCACGATACATGGCCCCATTCATTCTTTCCTTTACACGGATCAGTCGTCCTGGTCCCTTTGCAGAACAAAAGCCCCAAAGCATGATGTTTCCACCCCCATGCTTCACAGTAGGTATGGTGTTCTTTGGATGCAACTCAGCATTCTTTGTCCTCCAAACACAACGAGTTGAGTTTTTACCAAAACGTTCTATTTTGGTTTCATCTGACCATATGACATTCTCCCAATCCTCTTCTGGATCATCCAAATGCACTCTAGCAAACTTCAGACGGACCTGGACATGTACTGGCTTAAGCAGGGGGACACGTCTGGCACTGCAGGATTTGAGTCCCTGGCGGCGTAGTGTGTTACTGATGGTAGGCTTTGTTACTTTGGTCCCAGCTCTCTGCAGGTCATTCACTAGGTCCCCCCGTGTGGTTCTGGGATTTTTGCTCACCGTTCTTGTGATCATTTTGACCCCACGGGGTGAGATCTTGCGTGGAGCCCCAGATCGAGGGAGATCATCAGTGGTCTTGTATGTCTTCCATTTCCTAATAATTGCTCCCACAGTTGATTTCTTCAAACCAAGCTGCTTACCTATTGCAGATTCAGTCTTCCCAGCTTGGTGCAGGTCTACAATTTTGTTTCTGGTGTCCTTTGACAGCTCTTTGGTCTTGGCCATAGTGGAGTTTGGAGTGTGTCTGTTTGAGGTTGTGGACAGGTGTCTTTTATACTGATAACAAGTTCAAACAGGTGCCATTAATACAGGTAACGAGTGGAGGACAGAGGAGCCTCTTAAAGAAGAAGTTACAGGTCTGTGAGAGCCAGAAATCTTGCTTGTTTGTAGGTGACCAAATACTTATTTTCCACCATAATTTGCAAATAAATTCATAAAAAATCCTACAATGTGATTTTCTGGATTTTTTTTCTCTCAATTTGTCTGTCATAGTTGACGTGTACCTATGATGAAAATTACAGGCCTCTCTCATCTTTTTAAGTGGGAGAACTTGCACAATTGGTGGCTGACTAAATACTTTTTCCCCCCACTGTATGTATTATAATATGCGTTCTTGCTTAAGGAAGGTTATTTTAGTCTTCACACACTTGAGCCTTCAAAACTCATGGACTTATTCCACTATTGAGGACCAATATAATAGAAGGCAGCATTGAAGATTTGGAAGGTGGGAGTGTGGACACTATCTGGAGGACCATAATCTTTACAGAATGTACCCATCTGCTAACAACCTGCATAGGATTCTTAACAATACTGTTCGGTCATACAAATGAGGCCATGTAACATCTTTCAGGTTGAAAACCTTGATTCAGATACCTAGGTGTAATTTCCACCCCGAATGTATTTCCTTGACGTGGAATGCACATACCCCACCTCTGAGATTATTCCTCACCTCATTTACTGTGTCAAGGTCATCTTTTGTGGGATGTGGAGGTTTTCAATATCACAACCATGTAGGCTGTATTGACTACACTTTAACTGGCATATTGATTTTGCGACCCATAATCAAAAGAAAAGTTATGGCTCTAAAACTTATACAGAATTAAGGTGCAAGTCTGACACTTCACAAAAAGAAAGTATGAGGGTTTTTTCAGGAGTAAACACCAGACTTCCTTGAATTAGTTTGGTTGCCCACCTCTCTCAGAGCTTCGGCGTAGGAGCTCATGTCAGTCAGGATGACCAGGACATGCTTCTCACACTGGTAGGCCAGGTACTCAGCTGAGGTCAGAGCCAGGCGAGGGGTGATGATGCGCTCAATACTGAGAAAGGAAAGACCAAGGAAGGAATTAAAGGTTTCCACCATTAACATAATACTCTGTTGAAAATGTGAAAATGACAGGCTTGCCTTTATACAGCAATATTTTACAGACACGTTATTGCCTTGAATTCCTGATTCCATAGATGTACCATACAATTATTACTTATAGGAGGAAGCTAGTCCATTACTGATGTGGCACAGAGCTTATGCACATAAACTCACGTGGGGTCATTGGCTAGGTTCAAGAACAGGCAAACATTGTCCATGGATCCATTCTCCTCAAAGTCCGACTTGAAGAAGCGGGCAGTTTCCATGTTCACCTGAAAAGATAGAAGGTTAGGGGGAAAAAAGGTAGATGTGATTACATACCAAGTTGACAGTAGAAGGCCTTGAACATTCTTCAACAAAAGCAGGAATATACTGTATAAGAATCGCCCACGGACAAGAAAAAAAAAACAGGCCTATATCAGAAAAATGAGAGTGTCCGTTTGCAAATATCACAAGAAATTAGAGCAAATTCTTCCTAAACAGAGGGCAATGTACTGCAAATTATGTTGCAGCTTACTGGTTCAGTAGCTTTCTACTCAGGGTAATTTTACATGTTCTGATGTTATGTGAAAACATGGTTAAGTGTTAAGGCCCTTTCTCACCAAGTCAGTTTTTCCCCGTCCGTATAAAAATACATCTGGGATTCTTGAAAGCTGGGATAATCAACTTTTCTTTCCACAAATATTTTTTTTAACAGACCAATTTTTTTTTAAATAGACCAAAGTATGCGCTATCACAAAATGTGAAGGAACAACCTCCTAATTACAACATTTCATAAAAATACACCTAACTGGATTTATGGCAACTCCCCTCTACATTCAAGCAGCCATCGCAGCTGATTCTGACCGGGCCAAATAAATTATAAGAGCGACTGGTTTGTTTATAGCTGCGGATATGCGCCCATTTTCGGTGGTTGAGAAGAATAGGGGGTTTCAACACCTCGTGAAAGTGCTCGAGCGACATTATGAACTTCACCCTCTAGCACCCATTTCAGCAAACAGGTAGTTAGTACCCACTCTATATAAGCAAGCTAAAGCTGAAGTTGTCAATGAATTGGCCAATGCACCCTGTGTTGTGCTTTGCCATTCCACTGCCCAAGAATAGCAAAGCACCCTTTAAATGGTTCCAACAGCCGACCAATCAGTCTTACCGGTGCTTAGCAAACTTTTGAAAAAATTGTGTTTGATCAAATACAATGTTATTTTACAGAAAACGAATTGGCAACGGACTTTCAGCATGTTTATAGGGTAGGGCACTCAACATGCTCGGCATCGACACAAATGACTGATGATTGGCTGAAAGAAATTGATAATACGATTGTGGGAGCTGTTTTGTTAAGACTTCAGTGCAACTTTTGACATCATTGATCAGAACACCTCTTGATGGAAAAGTGTAGGTGTTATGGATTTACATCCTCTGCCTTATCATGGATTGAGAGTTACCTATCTAATAGAACACAGTGGGTTTTCTTTAATGGAAGACTAATACCAATTCGGTTGAGTGTGGTGTACCGCAGGGCAGCCGGCTTGGGCCATTGTTTTCAGTTTTTACTAATGACCTTCCACTGACCTTGAATAAAGCCTGTGTCTATATACGCGGATGACTCAACAGTATACATGTCGGCTACGACAGTCAAATAAATAACTGACACCTTTAACATAGAGCTCCAGTCAGATTTAGAATGGGTAACTAGCAATAGGCTGGTGCTATAAATCTAAAAGCATATTTTTGGGACAAATCACTCGCTCAACCCTAAACCTCATCTAGATCCATTAATGAATAATGTGGCGTTTGAGCAAGTTGAGATGACTAAACTGCTGGGTGTAACCCTAGATAGCAAGCTGTCATGGTTAAAACATATAGACTCCAAGGTTGCTAAAAAAAGGGATGAGGTCTGTCCATGAGAAGGCGTTGCTCTGCTTTCTTGACATCTCAAATGAACCAGACAGGTCCTACAGGCCCTAGTTTTGTCGCACCTGGACTACTGCCCAGTTGTGTGATCATGTGCGGCAAGAAAAGACCTAGGCAAATTGCAGTTGGTCCAGAACAGAGCAGCACATATTGCACTTAAAATGTACACGGAGGGTGAATGTCAAAGACATGCATGTCAATCTCTCCTGGCTCAAAATGGAGCAGAGATTGATTACATCACTATTGGCCTTTGTGTGAGGTGTTGAAGGTACCGAACTGTCTGTTCAAGCAGTTGGCACACAGTTCGGACACTCACACAGTTCGGACACTCATCAGTACCACACAAAACATGCAACCAGAGGTCTCTTCACAGTCCCCAGGTACAGAACAGAGGCTGGGAAATGCACAGTATTAAAATAGAGCCATGACTACATGGCACTCTGCCACCCCAGGTTACTCAAGCGAGCAATAAAAACAGATAAAAAAAAAATTTAAAAATAAATGTACCCATCAAAAGGTACAGGGATTGGACTGCTGAGGACTGGGGTAAAGTCATTTTCTCTGATGAATCCCCTTTCCGATTGTTTGGGGCATCCGGAAAACACGTTGTCCGGAGAAGACAAGGTGAGCGCTACCATCAGTCCTGTGTCATGCCAACAGTAAAGCATCCTGAGACCATTCATGTGTGGGGTTGCTTCTCAGCCAAGGGAGTGGGCTCACTCACATGTTTGCCTAAGAACACAGACATGAAGAAAGAATGGTACCGACACATCCTCCAAGAACAACTTCTCCCAACCATCCAAGAACAGTTTGGTGACGAACAATGCCTTTTCCAGCATGATGGAGCAACTTGCCATAAGGCAAAAGTGATAACTAAGTGGCTCGGGGAACAAAACATTAACATTTTGGGTCCATGGCCAGGAAACTCCTCAGACCTTGCTCCCATTGAGAACTTGTGGTCGATCTTCAAGAGGCGGGTGGACAAAAAGGCTGTTGATTGTGGCCTGTGGAATGTTGTCCCACTCTTCAATGGCTGTGCGAAGTTGCTGGATATTGGCGGGAACTGGAACATGCTGTCATACACGTCGATCCAGAGCATTCCAAACATGTTCAATGGGTGACACGTCTGGTGAGTACGCAGGCCATGGAAGAACTGGGACATTTTCAGCTTCCAGGAATTATGAACAGATCCTTGTGACATGGGGCTGTGCATTATCATGTTGAAATGTGATGGCGACGGATGAATGGCACAACAATGGGCCTCAGGATCTCGTCACGGTATCACTGTGCATTCGAATTACCATCAATACAAAAATTGTTTTCCGTAGTTTATGCCTGCCCATACCATAACCCCACCGCCACCATGGGGCACTCTGCTCACAACGTTGAAAATCAGCTCACACACATGAAGCCATACACGTGGTGTGCAGTTGGGAGGCCGGTTGGACGTACTGCCAAATTCTCTAAAATGACGTTGCAGGCGGCTTGTGGTAGAGAAATTAACATTCAATTCTCTGGCAACAGCTCTGGTGGACATTCCTGCAGTCAGCATGCCAATTGCACGCTCCCTCAACTTGACATTTGTGGCATTGTGTTGTGTGACAAAACTGCACATTTTAGAGAGGCCTTGTATTGTCCCAAGCACAAGGTGCACCTGTGTAATGATCATGCTGTTTAATCAGCTTCTTGATATGCCACACCTGTCAGGTGGATGGATTATCTTGGCAAAGGAGAAATTCTCACTAACAGGAATGTAAACAACAAAAGTTGAGAGAAATAAGTATATAGATATATTTTTGTGCATATGGAAAAGTTCTGGGATCTTTTATTTCAGCTCATGAAACCAACACTTTACATGTTGCGTTTATATTTTTGTTCAGTGTATATTACCAGTTTCCAAACTGGTGCATACGCTTTAAACATTTCCTAATCCCTTTTCATACCCGTCTGCCAGTATGCATTGCATTTCCACTACCCTTTTAGAGAGTTAGTACTTATGTTACAAAGCCCTCAATGGTGTGTCAATTTGCCATCAGCAGGGAGAGGATAATGAAGGCCAGAGGTGGGGGTCACTAACATCTCTGCCACAGGTCACAGAAGATTCCCCAAACGGTGTTAAATAGTCAAGAGCAGAGCAGCTGAACTGGAGAGAATTTGATACTGGCAGGCTGAATGTGTTCAAGACGGCTGAATAATAACCTGTCGTCGTGGCCAGAATTTGCTCAGAGGAGCAGACGTAACAGGGGACTTAAACGCTAAGTCACCTGGTGAATGAGAGTGAGAAAAGGAGAGGAGGAGTGTGTCACGGTGGGGTTAAGAGGAGGGATTAGCCTAACACTAGAGGAAAAAACAGATCAGATAAAGAGAGAAACATTTTTGTCTATCTAGTGCCGCTCAGCTCACCCCCATGGCGGCAAAGACAATGGCAAAGTTATCGTCGCTGTAGTCCATCACATCCTTGGATTTCTTCACCAGGCCGGCCTGACGACAAATCTGGGCAGCAATCTGAGAACCAAAACATACACAGGATTAAAAATGATGAGGTCTTGAAACATTCACGTTTATATAACAGCCAGTCTATTAAAAATGTTTGGACATCAGCGAGTGCCCCGTCCAGCTAGCTAGTTATTGGAGCGTTGCGTGTGTTCATGTGTGTGCGTGTGGGGTATTTGGGTGTGCATAGTTGAAGAACAACTCCGTGATTAGGAATCTAGAGGGGAGGAATTTCACGCTTATCGCTTAATGTAATGGTTGCCGCCTGTTGATCCGGGCTGACCTCTCAGTGCACCCCGAGCTGAGACACCTGGCCCATAGAGAACTGCGGCAAAAATGACCCCATGACATCTGTTTAATGAAACGAGAAGCGCTTTATACCATTCCAGTGACGCGAGAAGTCGACCAGCATCATTAGTCAGACAAGGCGTACCCTGTTCACCGTTTTTAGTACAGTGGGATTCTACAGTGGGCGCTCCATCCAACCACCCTCTTTTGATCATGCACTTCCAGATTGCAGGATCTTCATTTTATTCACATTCAAAACAGTTGCTAATAAAGGGACCGGATTTTCTCTTTTATATACACTGCCCAAAATCGTTGTCATCCTGTTGCTTCAGTGGGATTCTATGCATTTGATTGAGGCTCCCTCTCTGCCAGAATCTGATCGCGCATGTTTCAATTTGGCAGTCTGCCCTGACCAACAACACGGCTTTCTGTGAACACAAAAAAAACTCAAGTGTTGGGCCTCTATTGTCTGGCCTGAAGGTCATAATGAGGCTGTTTGCAAACTGTGATGGCTGGTGAGAGGACAGCCACCTCAAGCGTTAACAGCCTCATGGCTGGGCTACGATCCTATATTAATAAGTGCCATTCACACAATCGCCTAATCCCCTCTCGCCATCATTGTCTTATTGGTTTAATTCGTTTACCAGTTCAACCAGGGGGCCTCAGCTCTCTCTCCAAGGATTTAGAAAATAGCCTCCCTTCAGACTGTCTGATATGACAATATGAACTCATGAAACTATGCGGCACACTCTCAAACTTGTTTAGACTGTATATATGAACTATTGAAACTCTTAAAATCTCTTTTCCAAAGTCAATGTGCAATAGTTTGTCGGTCTGGACTTTTTAGGTTAGTCCTTTAGCACTGATATTTCTTATCTTGTCCCTGAGATTCAGTGGAGAGGTTAGTAGAGAATGATCAAACTGACACAGAACGAGGCTTGTAATAAGAATATGTTGGAATGGAGAATGATTCTGACTTCCTTGACACTGCCCAGCACATTGCCCCTATGTCGTGCCATAACTCACAAAATTGAGTTAGATGAACAAAAGTCAAGCTGGCAATGACCAACGGATCTTTTTCATTCCTCTCTTTTCAGGTTCAGTCAAAGGTAAAACCCTGATGAAGGCTAAAGGCCAAAATGCACTGGTTTTAATTTGAACAATAAATAAGCATTTATCAACTTCCACTGTCCTTCGAGTTGCTAAATGTCCTATTCACTTGAGTTCACTCAAAGTAGGCCAACTGTGGCACTTCACAACAATAAGATAACTATTCCAATTAATCAGATTTTAAAATGACTGTCTGGTACAAGCAAATCGTTGCAACTCTCATTTGTCCAAATCCTAATGAAATACTTCAAGGCACCAGAAGAACTCAGGGGGGGGAGGGGGGTTGGTTGGTCAATTCTATTTTTAAACTGAGATGGGAAGTCCAGACAGCTGCCATGTGCCAATAACTAACAACAACACAGAGGCATGGATCTGACTCATACTTAGAGGCAGGTTAGCAACTTTCATGGCACAATAACATTAACTTAAAACTAAATCATTTTTGACATATTCAAAAGATTTTAAGTAGTGCTTTAGAATATGGTATTATGCCACCTTCAGGTTTTTCTTTAGTAGGTTAAATGTGTTAGTGTCCTTGCCTGTTTTTAAGACTCTGATTGACAACACTGTTTGTGATAGCTGCAGTTGTTTCTAATCTTCAATTGTATCTGTAACTTGTGACACTGTCTTTTGTGTTCATTTTGTATTTTTTTGTAATATTTTATGTACACGTTGCTATTTCCCTGTTTTGCCTTCTTGCCAGGTCGCCTTCGCAAAATAGGTTTTTAACCTCAATGGGTCTTAGCTGGTTAAATAAAGGTTAAATAAAAAATAATACCATTGACTAAATAGGCTGTTAATATGAGCCTAAAATGAAATGAGAACACGTGTCTAGTTAACAGTGTGTCTGATACACAGACTATCAAATGTGACAGGCGCACGATTGTGCGAACACTGCTATATACGTCATTTAGCAGTGCATACATTTTTATGTATGGGTGGCCTCAGCAGGAATCAAACATACACCTCTTGGCATTGCGAGCACCGTGCTCTACCAACTGAGCCGCACAGGACACAAGACCTATGCTCTCAATTGACTCCAAGTAGTCAGTAAAATGAGTAGATGTGTTTGGCATTCTGTAGTCCTGTGTGTGGAGATGGAGAGAGAGGGTGAGGCTCTGTGTGAAATAAGAAAATGCCCTCCACAGGCAGTAAAATGTCAGTGGATTTCTGAGATGTCCTCCTGACCCACTTCGCTGTTTCTGCACCACAGGGACAAAACAAAATCTCCTCAGCCCATTAGCACTAATAATTTAAAGTTGCTGGTAATAAACACGTGCACACGCACACATACACGCATTCACTTGCACACTTAAGTGCGAGCACAACACTCCACAAGGGGTGTTTGACAGAAAAAAATAAAGCACAGAAGAATAGATTACTACAAACCAAAACAGATTACACTAAATTAGAATCCCCTGGCTGCGATAATGCAAATTTCTGAGGCGTCTAACAGAATGAACTGCCTAATGTTACAGATCACATTGTTCTGTTGTTAGTGTTAGAAACTCCTCTCCAATGCTATTGACTGAGGCTATAATATGGCAAAATGCAGCCTAAGGCACATATAGCTTATGTGTTTGTGTGGCCTAGCCTTGCCAGAGCTAGCGTCTCCATCGTACCTCGTTGTGGGGCAGGCCGGCGGCGGAGAAGATGGGGATCTTCTGTCCTCGAGCAATGCTGTTCATCCCATCGATGGCAGAAATACCAGTCTGGATCATCTCCTCAGGGTAGATACGGCACTGAGGGTTGATGGGCTGGCCTGGGACAGGGAAGAGGTCACAGCAGAGGTACAGAAACACAGACCAGAAGGTAAGCCACTTCCAACCCAGGTATTGGACAGGTCGATGTAATATAAGGGGTTTAAAAATGGTAGAGTTGGCCTTCTAATAGTTTTAATTCAGCTATTTACACTATGCGCAGTTGCACACAGGTAAACTAGGTTTTAGAAAGTACACGTGTGGGAGATGTACAAAATCCATAAGGTTTCACAGCAATACATGGTGCAGAGATGGAACGAAAGGTCAGACCAGAAATCAGGGTCAAACACATTGTTTCCCTTAAGATGGAAGACTCATGACCCTCTTCAAGTCATCTATTAATTGGGATGCCATGCCTACACGATGGCATGCTACATGTGAAAGGGACTCGGGGGTGGGATCAACAGTCAATATTGGCCTTGTGGCAGTGAGATACAACTAAAGACTGAAATCACACTATACAAGCTAAAGTACAGCTTCACATCTAGGTCCACTAGCAGAGTAGGGACGGACGCTTATCCGTTGTGAGCTCAGTATATTATGAATATAGTCAAGGTACCATGGTTCTATTTTTTTTATCATGTCAGGGTTGGGGTCAATTTCATTTCAACACAGACAATGTTATCTAGGAATATTTTTAACTTGGTGAATGCTTGAAAAAGAAAAGGAGAGCTGCACACTCTAGGAGCTCAGATGCAATCATTTAATAACCTAATAAGCAACATTTCGACAGACAAGTTGTCTTCATCGTGAATGAACTGAATTATAGCTCCGTCCTACCCATGATGTCCAGGTAGTCCTCAGCCAGCACAGTGGGGCCACGGTCAATGGGCTTGCCTGAGCCATTGAAAACACGTCCTGAAATAAAAGTGAAAGACATTCTCGATTGGTTTAATTTCATAGTACATGGATTGCTATCAACATAAGTATATCTGCCTCTGATTCCTTAATAAATATGAACAGTTATTTCAGGTTTCAGCCAATAGTGGAGATACTGTATTTAACATTTTCATTCATTTTGGGCCCATTACTCAGAATACTCTAGCAACAGATGGTTCACTCTCTACTATTCAAATACACCTGACCTTGTTGTGTGACATTTACAAAAGGTCCTAAAAGCCTCAGATTTTCTTAAATGTTTTGTTCCCCTAAGTCACGAGCGGGAAGACTCAATGCAGGACACAAATTGAGGAATTAACAGAGGCGAGGTAAAAATGGAGCAGAACAATTGTATTAAGCACACTAAGAGAGTAAAGCTTACAGGGTATGTTCTTCTTTGTGTGAGAAAGGGGGCGGAGGAAACAGTTATACAGATTGATGAAAACAGACGTAGAGCAGCCTAATTAAGTCTTAATCAGCGGTAGATTTCATGCTTCCTCCTGCCTAGCGCCCACGGGATGCCACTCAGCTTGTTGTGGAGGGCTCATCTTACCCAGCATGTCCTCAGACACAGGTGTGCGCAGGATGTCACCAGTGAACTCACAGGCCGTCTTCTTGGCATCAATACCAGATGTCCCCTCAAACACCTGAAAATGACATTAAATTAAACAGTATCTTTGAGTCGTTTGTGGGATGTGTGTGTATGTGTATGTGTGTGTGGGGGGGGGGGGGCTCACCTGTACGACAGCCTTGGTGCCAATCACCTCCAGCACCTGGCCACTCCTCCTGGTGCCATCAGGTAAAGTCAGATGCACAATCTCAGCATACCTGGGAAACTGCCACATAAAAAGGTGGAAAAACATAATTTAACAAACATGTTTCTTTCGGTCTTTCAAAACAGGAAACATACATGGCCTAGAATAAGGCTAACCTTGCAGAGAATAAGAATATCAATAAGCAAGCCAGAACACAAATGATTATAGAGAAGTAAACTCGGAAATACAGAACTAAATTTGTGCGTAATTGCATCAGATGCTCGATTAAGTTCTGGGGGCGACGTTAAGAGATACCATGATTCCGAAATTCGAATGATGCGAGCATTGAGATACCATGATTTGTCCAAATGATCAGTGACAAACAAACAATCTGCATACCAAAAAAAAGTTCCTCGTTATCCGTCACATCCAACAGTCTGTTGACAGACGTTACGATACCAGTTATGTTACGTGCGTCTGTCCACGAGAGATTAATAGAGAAGTAATGTTAAATCTTCAGTCACCTTCACATTATCCAGAATTACCAGGGGGCCATTCACTCCAGACACAGTAGAATAAGCTGAAATAGAGAATAACAGTCAATTTGTTTTGCATCACTAACCACATTTCCATCCACAGTTTTTATGAGAGTCAAGTCGTACCGTATAAAAAATATAAAAATATCACGACAGCTGTGATGGAAACAGGAAGTTTCGGTACAACTTTAATTGCCGACAGATCATTTGTTTGTTTGACATGGTCGGATCTTTTTGTGTCTGTAAAACTAATTATGTGAGAAATGGCAGTTGAAATGCCTTTATGCGCAAATATTGACATAATAACCATCATATCGAAGTGATATGGTGTGTGTGATCCACCCACCACGAAACCATGCAGTTTATTAGGCTACAGTTTAAATCAATTATGATGAACTTCACAGGTTGGTGAAAGTGCACGGTAATGAGCTTGATGCACCTTTAAAATACAGTGTCTTCGGAAAGGATTCGGACCCCTTACCTTTTTCCACATGTTGTTACGTTACAGCCTTATTCTAAAATGGATTCAATAAAAATCCCGCAATCTACACACAACACCACATGACAAAGTGAAAACAGGTTTTCATAAATGTTTACACATTTATAAATACAATTTAAAAAAAATCAGGAATACCTTATTTACATAACTATTCAGACCCTTTGCTATGAGACTCGAAATTGAGCTCAGGTGCATCCGTTTATCATCCTTGAGATGTTTTTACAACTTGATTGGAGTCCACCTGTGGTAAATTCAATTGATTGGACATGATTTGGAAAGGCACGCACCTGTCTATATAAGGTCCCACAGTTGACAGTGCATGTCAGAGAAAAAACCATACAATTAGAACGAAGGAATTGTCTGTAGAGCTCCAAGACAGAATTGTGTCGAGGCACAGATCTGGGGAAGGGTACCAAAACATGTCTGCAGCCTTGAAGGTCCCCAAGAACACAGTGGCCTACATCATTCTTAAATGGAAGAAGTTTGGAACCACCAAGACTCTTCCTAGAGCTGGCTGCCTGGCCAAACTGAGCAATCGGGGGAGAAGGGCCTTGGTCATGGAGGTGACCAAGAACCCAATGGTCACTCTGACAGAGCTCTAGAGTTCTTCTGTGGATATGGGACAACCTTCCAGAAGGACAACAATCTCTGCAGCACTCCACCAATCAGGCCTTTATGGTAGAGTGGCCAGACGGAAGCCACTCCTCAGTAAAAAGGCACATGACAGCCCGCTTGGAGTTGACCAAAAGGCACCTAAAGGACTCTCAGACCATGAGAAACAAGATTCTCTGGTCTGATGAAACCAAGATTGAACTCTTTGCCCTGAATGCAAAGCGTCACGTCTGGAGGAAGCCTGGCACCATCCCTACAGTGAAGCATGGTGGTGGCAGCATCATGCTGTGGGGATGTTTTTCAGCGGCAGGGACTGGGAGACTAGTCAGGATCGAGGGAAATTTGAACGGAGAAAAGTACAGAGAGATCCTTGATGAAAACCTGCTCCAGAGCGCCCAGGACCTCAGACTCGGGCGAAGGTTCACCTTCCAATAGGACAACAAGCCTAAGCACACAGCCAAGATAACACAGGAGTGGCTTCGGGACAAGTCTCTGAATGTCCTTGAGTGGCCCAGCCAGAGCCCGGACTTGAACCCGATCTAACATCTCTGGAGAGACCGGAAAATAGCTGTGCAGCAACGCTCCCCATCCAACCTGACAGAGCTTCAGAGGATCTGCAGAGAAGAATGGGAGAAACTCCCCAAATACAGGTGTGCCAAGCTTGTAGCATCATACCCAAAAAGACTTGAGGCTGTAATCACTGCCAAAAGGTGCTTCAACAAAGTACTGAGTAAAGGGTCTGAATATTTATGTAAATGTGATAGTTTTTATTTGTAATAAATTAGAAAAATTTATTAAAACTTTTTTTGCTTTGTCATTATGGGGTATTGTGTGTAGATTGATGGGGGGAAAAAACAATTTAATCAATTTTAGAATAAGGCTGTAATGTAACAAAATGTGGAAAAAGTTAAGGGGTCTGAATACTTTCCGAAGGCACTGTAAATATCAAGGTCTTATTCTGGTGACATGATCGATGCTTGACTGCCGTTTGAGTTATAAAAATATTCTCGCTCTTATCCATAATAATCTCATGTAGACTGGCCTACCAGCACAGCCTACCCGCACAGCATCTGCAAGCTGTTGGCTAGAGCACACATGCCAAGACCTGAGTAGGCACATTTGCTATTTAACACAACAGTTTGTGACAAAACTATCAGGTAGAGTTGAAAACGCAATGGAAATGCATTGAACTTTTTATTGAAAACTTAAGCGAAAAAGTACATTTTGTGTGCACTGTTATCACACAATGATTTTTAACCGCAACAAGTCCGTTTGATGGAAACACTGGTGGGAAAATGCGCATATTTCCTTCACGTAGATTTTAAATATTTGCATGAAAATCTGTCTCCAATTGGACGGAAACCTAGCTATAAATGCAAAATTGTTTTGCTTGCAAGTAGATCAAGACCATGACCTTCAGTATAGGAGGAAAAAAAACATGAAAAACATGTCCACCAGTCCCAAGAGAGGGCTTAATGTTAGACAAGAGATGCGACACCTTGGAAACAAAATGTTAAAAGCAATAGTGATAGAGGTTAAGAAAGGTGCATGGCTTTTTTGCATGAAAGCCAACAATCATATGGTAATAAGTAGACTAGTGTTTAAGGATACCTACGTTAGTAATTAGAAAGTGACCTTTCGTAAAAGGGGTTTAAATGGCTTTCATGCATTTCATGGCCAAATGTCAAGGCCAGGCAAATGTCAAGGAAAATACATGACACACTTTGAACATATGGGGTAATATTGTATTTACCTAGGTCAAAGTCTACAATTTCTTAAACAACAGGACAGACATGTAGAGGTGATTGTTATTGTATTTACAGTGAATTTCAGAATTATAACTTAGGTCCACCTTAGCACAATCCATTTATTAATTCCCTGTACTCACATTCACCCCAGTGTCTCCACTTTGGCTAGTTTATTTTTATTTTTTGGCCCCAACCATATATTTTGTCTGCGCAATAAGCAATTGGCCTAATTTCTCATTCTTTAAAATGACTTTCACCCATCTCCAAAACGTCAGTTTTAGGTGGTTCAAGGACTCAGACGTCTTTTGTGTTCACTTGGGTCCGGGACTCTAAACCCCTTTGTTAAATACACATATTAGAACTCTGACCGTATTAGGGGCCACATCCCTCCCCTAAGGGCCAGTAGCTCTACACCACCACAGTGCTCAAAGCCCTCCCAAACAGACTTTCTACTACAGCATGGCTGCATGGGGCCATTTCCTGCTTCCAAAACACAAATGCACAGATACCGGCTCACCCCATCAAAACCATCAAACAAGGCGATCATACATGTTTTAAGAAATGCCCAAGAAAAAAATAAAATGTTTTGGTGGATCTTTTCATCTGAACTAGGACTTTTCACCCAATGAGTTCCACCGTAATGCCTGCGCGTTTTGGACTTCTAACCACTTTTAAACATTGCGCGTTCTTCTGCTTCCGTAGATACCAACCATTAGTCGATGTGATTAACGGGGGCTGAGTGATGTTTGTGAGACAAGGGCGGATCCCGGCCTTCTTACTAAAATGTCTGTAGACTCCGAATGGTTTGAGCTACAAACTATTAAAACCTATCTATAAAAAGCCTCACGATCACACACATGATACTCACAAGCTACACAAGACTGGTTACAAGGCAAGAGGCTCTTCTACATAGAAGACAATAGGAAATCCTAGGGCATAGTGTCTATAATACTGTAATAAACTCACATAGTTACTGTCACAAACTCCAAACAGTTGTCACTGACTAGTTGGTTATCGATTTCTCACTGAGTAAATAATTTCTGTACTTACAGCATTCATATACATTTAATTAAGGCTTTTGATTTAGCTGACTTATTACTATTATTTTTGACATTTGTCAATAAAACTCATGAATGCAACTGTCAAAATTGGTTTGTGTTCTGGACATGCAGATAAATGAAAAGCTGATTTTTGCTGGGGTCTCGGGACTGATAGGGTTAACTAGCCAAACTCACCGCACTGGGTATTGAGGAGCCCAAGCTGTCACTGTCATGGGAAATATGCAGGTGGATGAATAGGTGGAGGCGGGCCTGGAGGCTGTCATTAAAGGCCCAAGTAGAGACAAACAGAAGAGCATGGGTGTGGTCCAAACTTTGTCCTCTTACTTTCTTTGGGAAAACATTAGCTCTGCTGACATTGGAGCCAATTTGTCAGTGTCTGCAAAAAACGTGGGCCTCCGCCTGCTTCTCCTCGCACATCTGTAGCATGGGGAGGTGAGGAGCAGGGCCGTATGGGGGGGGGGGGGGGGGGGTTGGGGCTTTGTTTCCACCAGGTCTTCCATCATGCCCTTGTTTCTTTTTTTGTGTGGACCGTCAATCTCTTGGCCAATATCAAAGCTGCAAGGAAATTAGAGCAGACTGGTTCTAACACTGAGCACTAAAGCCTGGCGGGGTGCATCCACTATGCCACTAATTAGG